GAAGTGAGGGGATACCAGCGGGAAACAGAGAATCCAGGGCTCCAAAGCCACCCTTCCCGCACTGCCCCGCCCTCACTCTGCTGCTTCAGCCTGGCCTTGTCGCAGATGGCTGGCCGCAGCTGCAGGTGCGAGCCATCCTGCAGGGCGCAGGCGCTTGCACACACCACCACGCCCAGGCAGGACTTCTTGAGGATGTGGCCATTGTGGTTGTTGGTGTTACGCATGGCCCAGCCACTCAGGTGGCGCTGAGCCTTCTTCTCCTGGCTGCTGTAGATGAAGCGCACGTAGCCATCAGGCCACTCCCGGAAGTGGTCAAAATGGGTTGGTTCCTGGGAAAAGAAGAGCGCAGAGGAGGGCTTAGACAGCACAAATCATAGGTATCCTGCTTGTAACTTCCTCCACACACTGGAAGATGAAATAGGGCTTTTTGGTAACTCTAGAAATCTTCATTTCCCCCAAATTATTCTAGTATACAATGCCAATCACCAGCCCCATGCCTGGGCTATCTTAAATAATGCATGTTTACGAGGTACTGACATTTATAAGATTTCCAAGTGCCAGGTGCATATTAATATATCACCCCTTGCCTTTCTTCAAGCACAGGGAGATAAAAGTACATTTTATTCCCTGAATTTCACAGCTCACCATTAAGATCACCATAATATATATGAATGATGTAGAAACAGGAAATAAACATTCTGATTTTTGAAGAGCAATTTTTCGGAACCTCAGACAGCTCACCCTTTCTAGACAACAGTCAATATTTAAATTGATGACCAAAATCTCAAAGGGGGGGGAATGCTTCAAGTTAATCTCTTTCAGGGGAAATGGAGAAAAGCACACATTACCTCACACATTACAAAGGAAAGCTAAAGAAAAGGCTAGAATGATGTTTTCTCCCAATGCATTGAATGGAATGCAATTTGGGGACATTTTTCTCATTTGCATGATCTCAGATGAGATGAAGCAAGACAAAATTAAAATATTTTCAGCTAACGGGCTGCTCTAAAAATAAAAGCTTTCAACTCTTGCCTCCATTCTGTATTTGAAAGATTTATAGTATGCTTGTTTCTAATTGTGTGTCTGTGTGGGTCTTGTGTACCTGAAATTAGAATTCATTTCCACTAATGTGTTGACAGCACACACACACACACACACACACACACACACACACACACACTATACAGGATGACAGTAATTCTGAGGAAAATTTAAGGTTGTTATCCTGTTTCATCATTTGATGACCAGACAGCAGCCTGAGATTAACAAAAATTCAAATTTCTCTCAAGGTCACCCAAGAAGTTTAGCTGACTCACCCAGTTAGTCAGAAGGGTTCTTGTGTGTGTGTGTGTGTGTGAGAGAGAGAGAGAGAGAGAGAGAGAGAGTATGCTAGCACACACTCGCATGCATGTCTGGGGGGTTGTTTTGTTGTTGCTGTTTATGCCTCAGTGTGCCTGTCCATTCTCACATGTTCTATACACCCCTGATTAAGAACCAGACTTCCTGGGCCAGGGAGATGATGTAGGAGGTAAAGGTACTTGCTTTGCAAGCCTGATCATCCAAGTTAAAACTGAATCATGGAGGAAAGAGAGAGTCATTCTCTGACATCTACATATACATCATGGCATACACATGCCTACATGTGTGTGTGTGCGCGCGCGCACACACACACACACACAGGATACACACAATAAAAAGATAAAAGCAGATACCCCCAAAATGATTTCTATTCACCAGAAAGTCTACATATCTGTGAGGCCATGCCTTTATTGCATCATTTGTATTTGATTCATTTTCGAAAGGAAAAGATTAAGTTGTTTCCTGTGGAGACTTACAGGTACAGAAGGCAACAACAGGACATGCATGCTGTGGTCTATTTTCAGAACAGTTGCCCTGCGGAATGCTAAAGGGGGTCAAACGCCCTACAAGTGAATATAAAAATAAAGGCTACACATCTCCCATTTCTGAGTATTATCTGGCACCGCATAGAGGCCAAATAAATGCCAAGTCTCAAACCCTGAACTAGGACTTTACTGGAAGCCCACCTTCACAAATGCTAGGGAAGCAAATCTACTCCAGTCCCTAAATGTGTGTGTGCACACATGAACACTACACTACAGTCTCTCTCCCTTTCCTCCCTCCCTCTCTCTCTCTCTCTCTCCTTCTCCCCCTTTCCCCTCTCTCTCCTTCTTTCTCTCTCTCCTTCTCTCCCTTTCTCTCTCCTTCTCTCTCTCTCTCTCTCTCTCTCTCTCTCTCTCTCACACACACACACACATACACACACACACACACTTGCAGGACTGACTTAAAAGTCATTAGTTTTGATCCAAACACAAATTGCTGAGTTCATTTCCATACTTGGCTCTGATAATGAAAATCAAATTTACCCTAAACAGAGGATCTTTTCACTGTTAGGGAAGTGAGTGTGGGGGCAAGGTTGGCTTCACAAGCAGTGGAGTACTCTCAGTAAATCACTCCAGTCTGGACATTTGTTTTAGATTCTAGTTGCCTCCTAGTGCCTGGCTTGGCCATGTGAGAATCAGTGGTACTTAAGTTTGGTGAGATTTCTTCAAAACTCTCTCTTGAACTTTGAATAAGTGAGTAAGGAGTGAAGCTTTTTGTTGTTTTGTTTTGAAATGAGGTTTATTTGAAATGTCAAATAGCCCAGATTGGCTTTGAATTTGTAGCAATCCTCCTGCCTCAGCCTCAGTTCTGCCTTGGTGATGGAGATAGAAGGAGCCTGACCTGACTACTTGGGAATATAGGTCTGTATTTCTGCTGCTTTTAGTGTGTTTCAGAGAAGCACAAGTAAATCACTCTAAGTAGAAAACATCTCTAAACTGCTTTCTGTAAAGTCCAATTTCCCTCCATATCTGCAGGCCCTCAGAAGTGTGTGAGGGTGTGTGTGTGTGTGATCTGAAGACCCTCAGAAGTGTATGTGTGTGTGATCTGAAGACCCCCAGAGGTGGTGTGTGTGTGTGTGTGTGTGTGTGTGTGTGTGTGTTTGTGTGTGTCTGGTGTCTCAGCATGAATAATTTTGCATTTCCCGTTTGTCTGGACAGTGTCACATTTTAATCAAAGCACAGTCAGTGTCTTCCTCACCTGAGGCATCTGAGGATCATTGATGTCCCATGTGAGTTCCATCCCATAGGAAAGCACAGAGTCTGCATCCTGTGTGGGGTCTGCCAGCATCAGGACTCCCTAACCAGGTACCTGAAATAGAAATAAGAACAAGGAGTACACAGGGTGACTCCTTCCCCCAAATGAGAAGGCTGAGGGGGGTGAGTGAAAGGAGAAGGAGGGAGGAGAAAGGTAAGAGGGGGCAGAGAAAGACAGACATACAGACAGAGAGGGAGAGGAAGAGAGGGAGGAAGGGGGGGGGAAGGTCCAGGTGGGTGCCCTGTCCTTGCCTGCGGTGCTCCCTTTGAATGCTAGCATCTTTAAGCAGGTTTATACCAGGCCCACCCTGCCGCTCTGCCTCTACTGCGCACCTGAAGCTCCAGCCACAGGCTTCTGCACCTAGTCAGAGCCAAGAATGCAGGGGAGAGGGTGAAGGGAAACTGAAGCGGAGAAATTGGCCGTGGGGAGCAGGTAAGACACTTTCATTTATGCTGAAAACCAAAACCGACTGCTTTTCACCTCTCTGCTGGTTCTGGAGAGGGCTTGGATTGGGGCTTTGGAAGCAAAGGTTTTCAGCAAAGTCTTGCCAGGGCAGGTTCCAGTGCGCGGTGGGAAAGGCGAGGGCGCCTGGAGAGCCAGCAGCCAGCACCTACAGCCTAGGGGCCAGCCTCCTTGGAGCTCTGGGTTCTTGTCGTTGCTGTTCTCAAGTCTGCGCTCTGTGGTTTGGTCAGGGAGTAAGGTTAGCATTCCAGTAAGTTCTCAAGCCTAGGCACACCTCAGGCGGGGACAGTCCTGACCACCTGGAAAAGTCCTGGGAAGAGAATTTGGAGGTTGGTGTCAGATGACACTGAGATGGTCAGGGAGGGAGGAGAGTAAACTCAGCAGCTGGAGTCTTGTTCCTTTCTCTCGCCCCCTCAGCATCCATAGTTAAAAGAGAGAGAGAGACATCAGACATCAGTTTGTGAGCTCTCAGTTGCTACCCATGAGAACACCCACGTTAAAACAGTGTATTGCCATTGTCTCTACTGTCCCTAGATCACTTTTATCCACAGCAGCTTAGGAGAAGGACCAGAGAATGCTGTCTATAGGGCTGAAAGCTTCTCCTTCATCTGACTGTTTTTGACAGTTCTGGCACAGGGACACTCGATATAAGAAAGCCACAAGCATCTCTCTGGCCACTGCAGTGCGGGATCCCGAGACACGAGCAAAGGTGGGCTTCCATAATCTCCTCCCCGAGCCTGCTGTGAACCCTCCCATTGTCGGTCTTAGCCAAAACCAATGAATACGTAAGTAAGTAGATAAGCGAATAAATAAATAAATAAAAACGAGACAGCAGATCCCATAGTGCAAGTCGCTGTTAGCGGAGGTGTTTGTTCCCAGCTCAGGTCCGCTCTGAGGTGCTCACTGGCATCTAAGACCCAGCAGGGCGGCACAGGTCCCACTTTGCTTGGGCAGTGCCAGGCAAGCGCCTCCTGAGGGAGTAATCCCCACTTCTGTGCAAAGCCCGAAAGAGCCAGTGCGTTTCACTGCCTGGGTTCCGGTGCGATAACCTTAGCAAACGGGATCTGGCACGCGCAAGCGCCTCTACCTCCCAGGGAAGAGCGCGAGGGAGAGTTCAAAAGAAAGCCAGCCTCCCAGAAGCCCACCGGCGGTTAGCGCCAACGAAGAGAAGAGAAGCAGGGTAGGGTGCCCGCTGGGAGCATTTCCTGAGCTTTCTTCTTTCAGATCTAAGCTGGATTCCTATTTTAAATACGAGGAGTTCTGGCAGATGAAGTACTTGTTAATCTTCAAACTGTTTCACCAAAATTCTTTTCTAAAAATCGCTCTCACAGGGACCTTACTGAAGTGAAGTGTAGTTGGGGACAACGAAGTATGGAATTATGTCCACTGTGAGTGATTGTGAGGGTCCGGGATACTTCTACTATTCAATTGCTTTTTTAGATTTTTTTTTTATCCCTGCTTGTCTTTCAGAAATAAAGTTTAAACTATTGACTTTTAAAATAAATTTAAACCGTTTCAAATTAAACGTGACAGCTTAAGACAATTTATGTTTTGAACATATTAAAATTAACTTCAAAAACAGCCATTTAATATGACCTCTGAAAACGGGTAAAGGTCAATTTCTGGCCATACTGCAAACATTGTTAGAATGCTCCTGTCTCTATCCTTTTGAAAGATTCCTAGAGTCGATCCTTTAAAAACACAAATGATGGCCCCAGGAGTCCACTCAATGGGTAAAAGCACTCACTAACAAGGCTAAAGATTGGACACCACAGACCACGGAGGGTGCAGACCCCTGGAGGTTGGTGCTCCGCCCTCTACCTCACAAACAGAAAATGTAATTTACCCGTTAAAGGCAAATTAGTTTGCGTGGGAGGAGGAAGGAAACAACCCGCTCCACCATACTCAGCTCAGGTTCATGGTGCAATCCTGTAATTCCAGTAGGGAGAGAAAGATGCAAGAGGAACCAAGCTACATAAGACCCAGTCTCAGAAAACAAAACCAAATAGCAAGAAGATATTTAGTTTGTGAAGAATTAAAACACATGCTTCAGGTTGCCCTGTAATCGTATGGGGATAAAATATGTTAATAAAAGAAGCTAATCAAAGTGAAAATATAAATAAATGATAACGCATTGATGCCTATCTTGTTGCTTTTAATAACTTCTGAATATTGGATACATTGTCACTGCAGGGTTTGGAAGTATATAGTTTCTCCCAAATTCTGAAACTGATGCTTCCTGTATAATATTTAAAAATTAATTTTATTCTCTAACACAAAATCCACTTAAATTGGATTTTGATCACCACTCTTTAGAGGTTATATTTCCTTTCCTACTTCAGTGTTTGCATCGACTTAAAATACCCTGCATTCGTGTCTGTCACATTCTTGATCTGTTAATTGGAGGAAGGAGCAAACCTCTGGATTTGCAAGGTTAAAATAGGTAAATTAACTACAGTGTATTGATATCACATATCCTAGGAGCTGATACGTCAGTCCAGTACTGGTTAGACAAACTGGTTGCCATGCTTGCAAGTTTGGGCTTAGTAGAAGGGATTGTAGATACACATGATTTTTTGGTTCATGTAAGCAAATGTCTTCTGTAAGCATCACAGCATAAAAATTATGTCTGGTTGTAATAAAGTCAGGTTTTACCCAAGAAATGTTCGGAATGGAGGGCCATCTATCTATTTGTATGTGTGTGTGGGGGGGCATGCCACAATGCTATTTGGAAGTCAGAGGACATGTTATAGGACTCACTTCTCTCTACTATCTGGAACCTGGGGATCAAGGTCAAGTCCCAGGGCTCTGTGAGACTGGCTGAGTCATCTCTTCAGCACTGTTTCCTTACAAAGAAAACCATAACACTACTTATTTTTGTCATGGGGTTCACATATTTGGTATCCCAACAAAATCCAGCCTGTCTCTAGACTCTAGAAAACACACACACACACACACACACACACACACACACACACGAAGTGGCTGGAAAAAAAGCTATTTCAAAAAATAAAAAAAAAGTCTTCTCACAGGTGGTTCAAATCTATAATCACAGCACCTTGGAAGATGGAGGCAAGAGGTCAGCCTGGACTACAGAGTGATCTCAAAAACTAAATAGAATACTTCTTCCGTTGATGACGGTAACATGTAACATTTTATTTTATGGCATCAGGGTTGTATTAGTAATTTCAGGTCCAAGTCTGGTTCTCTTTTTTTCTTTTTATTTATTTTTTTCCACGACATTTTCTAAACATGAATTCCCCTTCCGAGGGACCTTTTGTTTGATCAAGATGAAGAAGGGAGCCTGGCCTGGTAGCTCACTCTTTAATCCCAACCTTCTAAAACTCCTAACTAGTTTAGGGAACAGAATGAGACCCTGAAACCAACCCAACCCCAACCCCCCATGGTGACTCAGGAGAGCAACCTGGTCAGTTTCTAAAAGGCAGCGAACTTCACTGGCTTCAGCCACAATGACTCCTGCAGGAGAACTCTTTTCCCGCAGGTGTGAGCCCAGGCCCCCAAGCCTGGCCCTGTTCTAGTTACTCGCACGCGCTTTCTAGAATCACAAACACCAGAGTCTAGTAGAGTTCCGTAGCAGGTTCATCTAATTGGAGTTCTCGCAGAAGTCTGAACTTCAAGAATCACCCGAGAAGAGCCTCGCTTTGATCTCAGCGGAGATCTTGGACCACTTAGACGCGAGCAGTGCCGCCGCACAGCTGTGCGGCACAGGCACGGGAAGTCCAGTCCCTAGAAGCTTAGAGATGCCAGCGGTGAGTGACATGGGGAGTGGAGGAGCCCAGACTCCCTTCTAGGGTCCCAGGGCCGAGGGAGCACCGACCTGTCTGAGCTGCAGCTAGGCAGCCCCCACGGGCACAGAGCCCCAGCACCTTCTGGGCGTCCAGACGAGTTCCTGGGGAGTACCGGGGTACCTTGGGGCACATCAACGTCTTGGGTTTGCTGCACTGACTGGCAGCATTCAGGAAGCCGGGGAAACAGTGGTTATCATGATCCTGGGCTCAAAAAGCCACTGGGAAGGGAAAATAGAGGATTGAACTAAGGATCTTTTGAGAGAACTATTGGGTGCATTTCGCTTCTATAGATTTCTTTCTCATGCCCCCCTCCCCATCCCTGATCCCGGTAACCAGTAAGAAAAGGACAGTCCTGGGGACAGATAGGTCTCCGTTCCCCTGGAGCGCCCTCTTTTCAGCTCTTCATTACCCGTCATTGGCCAATCCGCTAGTGAAAAACTTAAGTCTAGATGGACATGGGTCTTTGATTTCTACTACTTATACATAACGATGGTAACAATACTGCAAAATACACTCGACAATATGGATTTTAATTAAGTTCCTAGAAATAATACTGTTAAAGTAGATTTTTGTTGTTGTTGTTGTTTTGCCTTGTGTGAGACAGGGTCTCATTTGCCCAGACAGCTGTAGATTCTCTATGTTACTGAGGATAATTTTGAACTCTTGATCAACCTCCCAAGTGCTGACTGTACCACGGCAGTATGACTTAAAAAGAGCCAATTAGCAGAGTTTTATCTTGCTTACACTGTACTTTCCCATAAAATTGTCAGGCAATGCCCCTTGATGGAAATGTACCAGATCACTGCAAGTTTGGAAACCTCTTCTATGTGTTGTGGCTATTTGAACCTTGAAATTTCACTATATTTGCCCGAATGTTAAATGTTAAACTTTATGTCACAAATATAAGGACCTTTTGAATCTAATTCCTTATTACAACTTGTAATACAAATTTTGAATATGGATTTTAATTTAAACATGAATTTTATTAACTAAAAGCCCTTTTCTAAATATGGTGCTCTCTATAAAGTTTATGTTTATCTTGTATGGACATTAATACAGAATTTTATTTATTTATTTATTTTTTTGCTCATGAGATGGTACTTTTTTCACACCCACCATGTACAAGGAGATTTAAAAAAAAAAGACCCACTATTTAAACCTATGATTAATGATATGCACAAACAATGAGACCTGTCCAAACAACGCAGCATAAACTTTCCTTTCTTTTTATTTTTAGAACTTGAAACATGTTTGTGATTTTATTTTACTTTATTTATTTATTTAAGAACATCTTCTTACTGCACACAGGAAAATGAAAACCCTCTGCAGTCTGTAAAGGAAGACATCGGAACTGGCAGGACCTGCAGTGCTTTCTGGGTAATGAAGTTTATTTTCTGATTTTCTGTTCTATATGTGTTATGACTGGGAGTTCTGGATGGCTAGTCAGCACTGCTGTTGTTAAGCCTGGAACAGAGAAATCTTGGCTGCCTCTGTGTGGTACCACATGATAACCATGCCTGTGGTACTTTTATCCCTCCAGAACCCTACTGTAAATTACCCTGCCTCTAGCATGTATTCCAAGTAGCAGTAGCCAGCTAGGAATAAAACAAAATCAGTGCCTGTCCTCAGGGAACTTAGGACCTGCAGAGAGTCAAACAGCAGGTGTCCAAACCCAACAGAGCAGGGTTGCAGTACAAGGAAGCCCCCAGCCTGAAGCATAAAAGGCAGTCTTGGAGGTCCTGGTAGTTGGCCCACTTCTGGGGCAGGACAGTCAGTGTCACTGAAGGAACAGTGATGAGGGTCAGGAGTCCAGATATAACTGTGTGGAACACTGGAGGCAAGGAAGACCCTGCCTTATTCTAGATATTACCTTTACTTTTCTTTCCTCTTCTGTTTTTCTGACCTCCAATGGGAGATCCTAGGTGTGGATGCTTTGATTTAGACTTTGCAACATTACTGAGTGCCTTCACCGGTTTACCTTAATTGAAATATAGTCCATGGTTGTCCAGCTCAGACAGTGTCCATGGAGAGTCCGAACTCTAAGAAATCCCCAGGGGATGCAGTTGCAGCAGGAGTCCCCCCCAACCTCACATCTGACATTTTGATAAGTGATATCAACAGACATATCTTGCTAGTCTATATTTCCCACGTCTAGAGCTTTTGTCTAAAGCTAACAAAAGCTAACATTTCATTGAGTGATTATCAACAGACGTTTGGCTATTTTGTGATTCAAGACTGATGTCTTTATTATATTTTTGCTTCATGTTATTTCACACTGAATTATAATTTTTATTTGCAGTGATTTTGTTGCCAGAGGGTCTTTCCCCTGCTAGACAAGTTTTTAACCACTGAACTATATCCCCAGCTACAAAATTACATTTATTCATTTCTTTGGTGATGCTGGGCCTTGAACCCAGGTTCCTGTCTGTGCTAGGTAAAAGCTCTACCACTGAGCTACATCTCCAGTTACAGAGTTTTTTGCTGAATACACCATTATTTTGAAATTTTGATATAAAACAAATGTGCTTTGGACAATTAGTTACACCCAACCATCTCCTTTCCAGCTTCAGTCGCTCGTTACTGATGCGTCCCATGGCAAAGGGTTTCACATAATAGAAGACTATCTCCAGCAGAAGGAGAGCCACGTGCCTCAAAAATACAACCAACGTCTCCTACACCATCTTGACAGATCGATAAATCAGGCAAGTGGTTTGCTTTGTCTGGGGACTGAAATGCCCATGTATGTGCACTGGGAAGTGTTCTGAAGTCAGTGTGTTCTGATGCCCAGGAACTGGATAAAAATGAGTTCCAGAATTGTTCCCTGCTGCTGAAATGTATCCAGAGATTCTGCAAAGATGACCAGGGCCAAGAAGAGCCCTTGCTAATTCAGCAGGGACTGATCCCAAAGATAAGTGCACTTTCCATTTAGGAGGCTTGGGGCAATTTAGAAAGCCAGTGTGAGGAGCTGAGGATTCTGCTCAAGAGGGAAGCCAAGAGCTTGCCTGAGGTGTGTGAGGGCCTGGGTGGGGGATAAAATAAAAACTAACATGCTGGGGTGGTGGTGAGTGATTTTAATCCCAGCATTTGGAGACCTAGGAGGACCTTTGAGTTCAAGCCCAGCCTGGTTTACAGAGTAAGTTCAGGACAGCCAGGACTACACAAGAGAAACCCTTTTTCAAACAAACAAATGAACAAACAAAATAAAGCAAACTCAAAACAAAAAGCTATTATGCATTTAATTAGTTTGCTATGTTTTCTTCTTTGAAATCAAATTTGAAAAAAAAAAAAAAATGAAGTCCATACTTGTTGCCTCTGCCCCATACATACCTGTTGGGTGGGGCATTTCAGTTATCAATATATCTGAAGTCTGGGGATTGACTCCAGACCCAGCATAGCCTGGTAAATGCTCTACTATTGAGCCAAGTCCTCACCCCTCAGGCGGAGCATGTTGAGGGCATAGAGAATCACACAGTTGTGTAATAAATGACCACTGTTCTTGACAAGCCCGTGTGGTGATGGCATTTTGCTGGGAGAAAGGGAACAATGTGGGCTCTAGACCAGGCTGGTCTTAAACTTGCTATGTGGATGATCTTGAGCTTCTTCTCTTCCTGCCTACAGCTCCTGAGTTCTGGGCATAAAATGCAAGGCTTTCTGCATGATGCAACTAAGTAATTTCCCAAGCCCCTATTTATTTATTTATTTATTTATTTATTTATTTATTTATTTATTATAGTGTTGTGTGTGTGTGTGTGTGTGTGTGTGTAAGTGCCTGTGGTACCCAGAGCTACCAGAGCTTCTGGAGCTAGAGTTTATAGGTGGTTGTTTATAGGTGGTTGTGAGCTGCCAGATATAGGTGACTAGACCCAAACTCTCGTCCTCTGCAAGAGCAATTCCTGTTCTAACCGCTGAGCCATCTTTACAGCCCTCTATATATCTAGTTGTTGTTTTCTGAGACATTTGAGGCTAGCTTCAAACTCATAGCGGTCTTCCTGTCTCAGCCTCCCCAAGTGCTGGGCTTGAAGTTGTATGTTGTGTGTTGCTAAGCTCAGCTAGTAATGGCATGCTAGGGATTATTTCAGAGACTTTAGGGAAGATGAGGCAATCAGGGAGCTGGTCTCTGTAGACTTCCTGAACATGACCAAACACAGAAAGCTTATCAAAATGTCCCATTGACCTTAACACATTTTCTTTATTCTTTCTAAATCCTCAATCCAAAAACAAAACAAAACAAAACAAAAAAAGGGGGGAGGGGATAGAGTTTTTTTTTTTTTTTTTTTGCTTATCTGTGTCACAAGAGACTGCTCTTTTAAAGCAGCCAAGTAATAATGCTGAGTATGTATATTAATGGCAGCTGGGGGCAAAGCAGTTTGCAAATCATTACTGCAGCTCTCACCTCTACAGGGCTAGGTTTCTGTTGCCCTGCTTATTAGAGAGAAGGTGGGAGGGAGGGAATGCGGTGGCTGAAGGCAATTAGGAGAGTGATAAACCTCTGTTCTACCTCCTGGGCTGTCTAGCTCAGAGAGACTGATTGGGCCAAGAAGGAACCATTTTAAAATAAACTGCCGCTCATTCTGGAGCTCTGCCCCTTCCAGGGAAAGACTAAACTGTAGGGTTTCCCAAACTCTTTTCTGCTTTTTTTTTTTTTTTTTTTTTTTTTTTTTTAAGTTTTACTTAATGTCATTGGGTGTGTGTTGTGTTTAGTGTGTGTGTGTGTGTGTGTGTATGTATGTGTATGTGTGTGTACGCATGCGCGAGTGCCACAGAGTGTGTGTGTGTGTGTGTGTGTGTGTAGAGGTCAGAGGACAGCTTTTGGGTGTCAGTTCTTTCCTCCTCCCTCCATGGGTTCTGGTAACAAAATTCAGGTCATCAGGCTTGACGGCAAACACTTCTACCAGTTGAGTTTTTAAAATGTTACGGAGGACATTAAAGACAATGGTGACTCAGCATTGCAATCCCAGCTATATGGGATTCTAATGCAAGAAGATAAGTTCAAAGTAAGTCTGGGCTGCAGAGTGAGTTCAAGAGCAGCCTGGGCAGCTTAGACATTGTCTCAAAATAAAAGGTTAAGGATATTCCTCCTGTGGGGCTTTTCCTACTCTTCGGAGTTCTTTATCATTTCCCCCTAATAAATCTATGTTTGCCTTTTCCAACAGTAAAAGAAGATAACAGGTAAAAAGAGAACTAGGGATATAGTTCAGAGGTATTGGATGAGACCCAATACCCAATACCATTAAAAACAAAAGGCATGGTTTAATTTTGTATTTGATGCTCCTTAACTCCTGATGTCCTAATAGAGGGCAAAGAAGAGATGAGCCTCAAAGGAAATGGAGCAGGAATGTCCCACAGGCACTTTGGAACCTAAGCTGATTGCTAGGGAGTTGTGGATTGGGATATGCCTCAACCTGTTTTTCTTATTTAGGTCTTAAAGACTATATTAGATACTTCACTCATTTCTACCACAAAAGGCCTTAAGTAAATTCAGGAAGTATTTGTTTTGGCTCATAGATTAGGGGGTAAAGTCCATCATGATGGGAGTCAATGGATGGAGGAGGATGGCATAGCTCGTCACCTTGCATTCACAGTCAGGAAGGCCAAAGAATTGAAGGCTGGTGCTTAGTTCTTTCTATTGAGTCTAGGACCCCAGCTTGTAAGATAGTGCCATCCACAATTGTGATGAATCTTCTCTACCTGGTTAATTCTTCTGGAAACTCTGCACAGACATACCCAGAGGTGTGTTTCCATGGTGATTCTAAATCCAGTCAAGTTGACAATGAAGGTTAATTATAAATACTCTCCCAATATGTAAAAAGTAAAAACAGGTCAAATCAAATCACTACTGGATTTTGAAATGGAATTTTCCATGTTCTATCCAAACTCTATTTGATGATGAGATTGTCACAACTATTCAGGCATCTTCTGCAGGGTGTGTCACTTCATGTACATTTTGGACCAACAAGAGTGGATAGGTATTGTCAAGGAAAAAGGGATACTCACGTGTGTACTGAAAAACTAACTGTAGGCTCATCACATAGTGTACTTAGGAGTTGATTACACTTTATAGGGTAAGAATTCCCTGCAGAAAGTTCTGTCCTTAAGATCTAGGAGGAGTCAGCACCATATCCTTAAGCCATTGCTACTGTCCTGAGATGAAGCTGGGCCTCTGGTAGAGGATGTACCATTGTGGCACACAAAAGGGCTTAGGGAATACTTCTTATTCTTAAACATTGGTCGACTCTGCAGCAGACATCCCCTTTCCAACTCAAGAGTTGTATATCAACAGTCATGTCACTGATGCTATGTTCAACCAATTATTTATGATTTTGTATGCATGTGTTTTCTTACCCCCTTCTCTCTCTCCCTCTCTCCACCGTGTGTGTGTGTGTGTGTGTGTGTGTGTGTGTGTGTGTGAGAGAGAGAGAGAGAGAGAGAGAGAGAGAGAGAGAGAGAGACTAGAGATTGAACCCAGACTTTGCATGCTACACAGGTGCTCTACCACTAAGTTGTATCTCTTGGCCTGTTCTCTGTTTCAATGAATGGCCAGTCTCAGCAAAACTGGTCCAAAGATGACCCATACTTTGCTGAGCACATCTATTTCAAGATATCAGGGAAGTTATTTCCAACTATCCCAAGAATAGCATGAAATTGAACTTATATTCCTATGGGGGAAGGAGAAAGATACCAAGGATAGGGTATATTTTCTATAGCCATGAAGGCGTCTGCAGCAATGTCCAAACTGTTCATCTTTTAAATTTAGTTTGTGAGAGGCTCTCTAGGCTGGCCTTGTATTCACAGAAGACTCCTGCCTCATCTTCCTAAGTCTTGGGCTTATAGGCATGCTCTATCACACCTGGCTCATTCACCTTTTTTGATCTTCATCAAGTATCCCATTCTTACTAATGTGTGTGGCTTTCCTTATGGTAATTCTGGACCATTTGCATCCTTTCTGACTTGTTCCTGATGGACGGGAAGACTATTTTATGTGATGAAAAGGTCTTCAGGCTGCTTTTTCTCTACTGGGATATTATCTTGTAAATCTTGTGGAGTAGGTGGTACTCACTTGGGCCATGTGGTTCCATCAAATGTCTCTTCTATCTACATGGTTTCCTGGTTTGAACGGGTGACAGGATTTCTGATCACGGAAGACCTGGCCTCAGATGCACAGCTGATGAACACCATGGGAGACTTCCTTGACACTGCCCTGGTAAGGACTGAAGTGCTTCCAGGGATGATGCCCACAGTGATGGGCAGGAATCTAAGTGATTTGTAAAACTTCCTTTTGTTTTAAGTTTGGGTTTAAAAAGAAATCTTATGAGAAGTTGGCATTTTATAAGATAGGAATTCAAAAAGACTGCCATACTTTATGGTTAAGTCATTGTGTGAAAGAGTGACAGACATTAATATATTCAACCAATTATGTAGGAAAGTTAGAATTCACTTATTTTATATATTCAAATATGTTACATGTTTGACTATAGGGAACACGCTCATGTTAATGTGGTAACTGTGATACTAACCGTCTTCTAGTGGATTTTTAATTCTGTCTGCGTTCAGTTTCTGTCAGTTAGCATTCATGCATTGGTGTCGGAATGTGTGATGCTTTGAAATAACATGCTGTACTTTTCCTTCCCTTTTATTAGATCATTTCCAGGCACAGCAGGAAAGGTATGTATATGAGCAGTTACTAATTGCCTATTTTTCATAAAGAGACTAATTTGGCACCAATGGTTTAAATGGCAGGCAAGGATGAAATTTAAACATGCCTGGATTTATCAACCACCCCACATAGTCCTACTGTGACGGTGGAAGGCATTTTGTTGTAAAGCGTGTCTCAGTTTTCTGCAATGTATTTTGCTTAGTGGTTCTTGTCACTGCTGTAGCTGTCTTTCCTCTATTCAGGGAATGGAAGGCCACGTTGTCTCCAAAGCACCAGGAGTCTAACTGGGTTTGGATTTGGTTTTTGTCTAGGTTCACATGCTAGATGCCTGGGTCTGTTGAGCCTAATGTGAAATAGTGAGATCACGGAGGCACAGCTCTGTGAAGGCATTAATCAGGCATGGGACTAGATAACTAATGAGAATGGGAACTGTTTAGTTGTAATTACTTCTTAGAAAGAGTTTGGCTGCTGCCTTTTGCTTTTGTCCTCTCTGCTTCCCATGTGTCCTTTTCCACATCGTGTTCCTGCCACTGTGGCTCTGTCCACCATGGCTTTCTCCCCAGAACTCACAGACCATACTTTTCAGCCTCCAGAACTGTGAGCTAAATCATCTTCTTTGTTAAGTGGACCCAGCTTCAGGTATCTGGTTATAGCAGCAGACAGTTGCCCGAGACACAAACCAGCAAAGATTTAGCTACCATTGATTTAACTAGGAACTGATGCAGATACACTTTGGAGCCAATGAAGATAGCTTTGTCTTTCCAGAGCATACAAAGCAAAATACCAAAAAGGCAAAGTTTCGTTCCATCCAGTTCCAGTTAAAGTGTAGTTTGGTATTTTGAATTATGACAGCTCAGAAGCAAAGGCACACTTGGGATATTTGAGCATCCCGGAACACATGGCCATCACAATGTGAAACATCATTTTCCTGGGGTGCTATTTGGTTTTAAGAAGATGTTAACAAGGTGATGTTATGTGATGTTATGTTCCCCAATAGATGGTGACTGAATTAGTTTTTTTTTTTTTTTTTTTTTTTTTTTGTCACTGACTATAAATGCCCATTAAGAAGCAGCTTACAGAAGGGAGAGATTTATTTCACCTCAGGGTTTGAGGAGTTGCTGTCCATCATGATCAAGAATGCATAGTGGTAGGAAGCTATGAGCAGTAGGAGCATGGGGGGGGCAGCTGCTTGCTCAACACCTCAGAAGACCAGGAAGCAGAGATGAGTGATGGAGATCTGGATTTCCTAATGCATGTTGGCCCATGGCATGGTGCCACCCACTTAAAAGAATACCCCAGTTAATCTTTTCTAGAAACACCATAACAGACATACCAGAGAGATGTGACCTAAATGATTTTAAATCCAGTGAGGCCAGCAATGAAGACTATCATCCCAATCCCCAGCTGCTGTAATATAATTTTGAAGGGCATCACTAGGGTGTGGGCAGGGCATGGTCAGAACTTTTGAGCATCTTACGACGTTGTATCTCTGACTGTGGTTCAACAGAATTCTTGCTTTGCCATCTGTTTCCATCTTAGCCATGCTTCATTCTCTTGTGTTATTGAAATTGTGAGCAGAAAGACGTGAGTGTATGCACACATACCGTTGTTTAGAATATGAGAGTGTATGCACACACACCGTTGTTTTACATGGCTCACGAATGCTGAAATCTAGTCTTCAGGGAAATTTGCTCTTTGATAGTTTTATCTGCAAAAATGCTCAGTTCTGGCACTGCCCACTCACCCCACATCCCCCCCCCCCCCAGTGCTCAGTGTATTTAGAGAGTTTTCAAGCTTTCCTCAGAAGGCGTTGTTCTTCATTGCTTCTTCCTAGATCTCAATTCTTAAGCCCGACATTTTCCCTCGAGGATGGCGGTGGTCCTTCTCAGGGCTGCCCTCCACTCTTTACTTGGTGTGCAAACAAAGTGCTGCTTTTCGTGGGCATTCCTGCCAACTGGTTGACTGCTAGGTTTAGTAGAGGAAAACTAAGGTAGAGGGAACAAATAGGGCATTTTCTTCCTTCTGTTGGGTGCCACCTCCTGAAGTATCTCCATTGTCCCTGTGGTTCTGGCTCAGCTGTGCCTGTAACTTTTGTAAGATTGTTGTGAGTTGTTCTCTCTCCTTCCCTCCCTCCCTCCCCCTCCCTCCCTCCCTTCCTCCCTCCCTTCCTCCTTCCCTCCCTCTCTCCCTCCCTCCCTTCTTCCCTCTCTCTCTCCCTCCCTTCCTCCCTCCCTCCCTCTCTCCCTCCCTCCCTTCTTCCCTCTCTCCCTCCCCCTCCCTTCTTCCCTCTCTCTCCTTCTCTCCCTCTCTCCCTTACTCACTCCCTCCCTCTCTCCCTCCCTTCCTTCTTCCCTCTCTCCTTCTCTCCCTCCCTCCCTCCCTCCCTCCCCCATTCCTTCATTTCCTCTGTAGCTATCACAGACCACCTTAGAGAATCAATGTACATGAAGAACAGTTTGTTGTGGCTCATAGTTTCAGGGATTTCTGTGATCAGCTGGCCCCACTGTTTGGGCCTGAGGTGAAACAGAATATTAGTGGCCTGTGGCCGAGAGGTCATTTCACAGTGGCCAGGAAAGAGAGAGAACAAAGGGCTAGGGAGGAACATGCATCAGTGGCCTGTTTCCTCCAACCAGATCTTCCCTGCCCTGCTGCCCTTAGTAGCCCATTGAGCTGGGAATTCACCAATGAGGTTAACACAGCCATGGAGTTGGCACCTCATGCCCATTCACATAGAACATTTTATGTTCAAACCATAGTGCTGGTCTTGACTGGTTTCTTCTTAGGACCCGCAGTGCAGTGGTGTAGGGAACAGTGGGCAGTGGCTTCCTGGTGATGTGAATCTGGGGGTTGCCTCTCTGTTCCCAGCTTGCTTCTCAGCTTTCCTTGTCTAACCAATGATTCTCATGTATTAAACCCTCAAGACTTAAATATCTACACTGGCTTGAAGTTTTATCTATGCTTTTGTTCTTGCTTATGTCTACTTTCATTTTAGCCTGGTGTTTTTTTTTCATGCAAATTTTCTGCAAATTTATTTCATAGTTGTGTTGTCAACCCTAGGGACAATGAGGCAGACACTTCCTGCTTTGAAAAACTTCTCAGAAATTCTTAGTTCTGCTACCCCTCTGTTATCCAAGCCCTCCTGTGGCACAGGGCTTGTCACTTTTTTGTTAGTTAGTGTGACACATATAGACACCCAAAGAGTCTTGCTGGCCATCCAGGCTTTGTTAGAATGTTTGAATCTAATCTGATGGGTACCAGGTCTGGCTCAGTTTCTGTTTTTCCCTGTTTATCTGCTCATGCTAGTGTGGCCCATTTGTACTGAACACAGCACTATACTTCCCAGTTTTGTCTCCTACAATTGTATAGTTATACCGGGGTAAACGCTATATACTTTGTGGTAAATAACTTACATATTGAGATGACACATCTGAACCTACCAAAATTGTACTCTGACCTGGCATTATTTTGTGTGGTAGTCACTATTATTTCCACTTAATAAAAGTCCACAAACAAATTATGTAAAAGGTAATTTAGTTATGTATAAAATAGCATCTCTCATTCTGTTTTTTTAAATGTATAAATAGCTGTGGAAATTTCTGTGTTATATTATTGAAGACCAACTTATTTAAAAGTTCCTGAATCATTGCTATAGACCTTATAGCAGGTTTAATCTGTATATTATGTATAACATTTATATTACTATGTAATACAAATTCATATAAACCATGCAAACAGCACAACCCACGTGTGTGTACTTAGAACATTGCCCATGGTGGACAGAAAATGGCTTTGTTCAGGTTGCAGGGGTGACAGTGAGGCCACCCATACTTTGCTTAGAGTGCTGTTACAGTCCTTTGATGGTATTTGTGACAATAAGTGTCTTGTAGCCTAGGGGTGCTGTGGCTTGGAGCTGGCTGTCACCTGCCTCTTGCCTAGACTGTGGTTGTGTGCTGTATGCTGCTCCTGGCTTGTACATCTTACTGCTGCATGGCAGTCAGTTCCCACTCTTTCCAGCACCCACTTGATGCTCTTACAATTGTGCTTTCAGGGTCAATCCAGATGTTGGACTCCTTCATATTTAGTTTAGGATTCTTGGTGACAGAAGGCACCGTGAAGCCCTCCATTCAGCAGGAGGTGAGTTGTAACTAAACCGTAGGTCAGCGGTTGCTCTGGAAGGCATGTGTGAGTTTTCATTTTGTTTCTTTCCCACGGATCTGACTTCCAATTCTGAGCAGGCTCTGAGTACTCTGAACGGCATTTTGGACGCTGCACCCCGGGAAGAGAGAAGAAAGGTCTCTTCAGCAGAAGGCACATGTGATCTTATGTAAGTGATACTCAGGTGGTGGTGTAAGCCCCACATCTCTGTGCTGTTCTTTATCCTCTTCACACGCACCTACTTCATTCCTTCCTTCAGCGGGAATCTTGTAAGCTCACCAAGAATCAGGCTGGGAAGAACCGAAGCCCAAAGGGTAGACTTTGCCAGGCTTTGGTCTTAATAGCACAGGGTTTTGTTTTGCTGTTGATTTGTATTTTGCAATGAATTTATGGGCCAAAATGCTTTCTCAGATGATTAGGTGATTGTGAACTCCGTTGTTGACTTATGGAAGGATGTCAAGGGGTATGCATATATGTGTGTGCCCATACATACATGCATAAACACACACACACACACACACACACACACACACACACACACACACACGGTTTTAGTGGCCCAGTTGTGGCTACATAGATCTTAGAATGTGATGTTTGAGGATTTGAAGATAAGGTTTTAAAATAAGATGAAGTGAATTGCAAACACACACCTGTTTTGAAATTTGGACTTATCACACATCTATGAGTATGGCTAGCCATCAAGGAGGACATCTTGGTGACAGCAACCATTCCTGTGACATGCTGTGAACAGAGAGCCACCACAGAACAAAGCAGTGCTTGCTGAACAGGGTCTGTTGTCCATTGTGATAGTCTATGAATGGTGTGACTTTGGCTGAGTTATTTATTGAAAAATGCCTTGACTTCACTGGTAAGGATCACCACTATTTATTTTGCTTTTCTTGAGGGTGAGCAAGTATCTGTGGATGATATCGAGTCTTTTGGACCTATCCCAAGGAGTAGTATAACTGGGTCACGTGGTAGATTCAGTTTTAGCTTTTAGATTTCTCTACTGATTTCCATAATGGCTGCACCAATTTGCAGTCCCAGCAACAATGAATGAGGGTTTAATTTCCCCCACAACATTTGTTGTCAGCTGTTCTATTGATCTTTGCCATTCAGACTGGAGAAAGATGAAATCTTAAACTTGATTTGCATTTTCCTAATTGCTAGAGATGATGAACATTTTTGGGGTATTTCTTGGCCATTCTTATTTTGACAACTCGGGGCTCAGCTCATTGTTTTGAATGGGGATTTTTTTTAAAGTTCTTTGTATGTTCTGGATAGTAACTTCTCTCTACTCTGGACTTTCTTTTTCCTTGGGTGACTATTTCATTAGCTGTGCAGAAGCTTATCAGTTCATGAAGTCAAACTGTCCATCGTTGCTCTTAACTCTTGAGCAAATGGAAAGGACTTCCTGACTAGGACTCCTACACCTATGTAATGGAGGATTGTGGCTGTGATTCCTTCTAGAAGTTCAGTGTTTCACATTTATGTCTTTGATCCCTCTGGAACTAGTTTTTGTGCAAGAGTTAGATACAGTACCAATTTCATTCTTCTGCACTTGGACATCCAGTTTTCCCAGCACCATTCATTGAAGATGATTTCTTTTTCCCAGCTTATGGTTTTGGCACTTGGTCAAATGTTTTTTTTTTGTTTGTTTGTTTGTTTATTTTTGTTTTTGTTTTTTCGAGACAGGGTTTCTCTGTGGCTTTTGGAGGCTGTCCTGGAACTAGATTTTGTAGACCAGGCTGGTTTTGAACTCACAGAGATCTGCCTGCCTCTGCCTCCCAAGTGCTGGGAGGAATTTATTTATTATTTATTATTTTGTCAAATAATAAAAGTGTCGGAAGTTACAGGTGAGTTATTCATGTTTGGGTCTTGGATTTTGTTCCAGTGGTCTACATGACATTTTTGTGCCAATATCATGCTGGTTGTTTTGTTTTGGTTTTGTTCTTTGTTTTTAAATATTTGTTTGTTACATAGCTTATGATCTGGAACTGTAATCCTTCTAGCCTTGTTCTTTTTGCTCAGGATGGTTTTGGCTACCTGGGGTCTTTTGTGCTTTCATTTTAGGATAGATTATTTTTTTCTTCTATTGCTGTGAAGAATGAGATGGGCATTTTGTTAGAATGGTCAGTTTTACAGTGTTAATTCTACCATTCCATTAACACGGGATGTCTTTCAATGTTCCAGTATATTTATTTCCTTCTTCAAGAGGCTTACAGTTTTCATTGTAGAGGGCCTTCCCTTCCTTGGTTCAGTTTATTCCTACATTTTTTTTTATTTTCTTTGAGGCTATTGTGAATGGGAGTGTGTTCATTATGTCTTTCCTATATGTGCAAGTTGGTTTGTACAAGTTGGTTCTGTATTCTGCTATATTTCTGAATTTGCTTATCATTTCTAGAAGTTTTTGGGTAGAATGTTTGGGATCTCTCATGTCATCAGCAAATAGGGATAGCTTCAGTGCTTTTCCTATTTGTATCCCTTTAACTTTCTTCTCTTGCCTTATTGCTTCAGATAGTACTTTGAGTACAGCATTGAAAAGGTGTGAGGATAATGGGCATCCCTGTCTTGTTCCTGACTTTAGCTGGATTGCTTCAACCTTTTCTCCATTTTGGATGCTGCTGCTGTGAGTTTCTCTTATATAGCCTTTATTATGTTTAGGTATGTTTCTTCCAGCCCTACATTCTCTCAAGACTTTTATCATGAAAGAATGTTGGATTTTATCAAAGGCTTTTTCTGTATCTATTGAGATAATCATGTGATTTTTTTTGTCTTTAAGTCCATTTGTGTGGTTTATTACATTTCCTGACTGTGTATGTTGAACTGTCTGTCCCTGCATTTCAATGACAGAGCCTGGTCCTGGTGTATCATCTTTTTTATGTATGTCTGTATCCTCCTTGAGATCCACAGTCATCAGGGATGTTGGCCTGTGGTTTCCTTGTGTGTGTCTTTACTTCCTTCTGGTATTAAAGGAATACTGACTTTGTAGAAGGAAGTTCTCCTTCTGTTTCTATAGCCTTGAATAGTTTAAAAAGGACTGGTTATAGACCTTTGAATGTCTGTGGAATTCTGTTGTGAATCCACTTAGCCTTGAACTTTTTTTGTTTCTGAAAGGCTTTTTATTATTGTTTCAGTCTCCTCATTTGTTAGGATTTGTTTAGATTATTGATTTATTCTTGGTTTAATTTTGGTGGGTTGACTGAGTCTAGAAAATCTTTACTTCTTTAGATTTGTCCAGCTTAATGGAGTACATTTTAAAAATATTACCTCCTAACATTATGAATTTCATTGGTGTCTGTTGTAATGTTTCCCTGTTTATTTCTGATTCTGTTAATTGAGTTCTGTTTTGGTAGTTGGGTCAAGGGTCTGGGTCTGGAAATCTTGTTTATCTTCTCAAAGAAACCATCTGATAGCAAAGAAAAAACAAAAACAAAAGTAAAAATCTAATAAATACACAAGTGAAGATGTGTGTGGTGTGTGAAGATTAGTCTCATTACTAGACAATGAATGGGCCAAAGGCAAAAAGGAAGAAATAGCTTCCTGGAATTAAATGGAAACTCAACGCAAATAAACCTCTTGAACACCTTGAAAGCTGTCCTGTGAGGGAATGCTATGCCTCTAAGTGCCTCTGCTAAAATGTCAGAAAAAGAACACAGAAAGGTGTCTTAATGATGCAACTAGAAACGCTGGGGGTGGGGTGGGGAGAAACCAAATCTAAACTCAGTCCATAGTACTAACAAAAATCAGAGCAGAAATCAATAAAATAGAAACAAAGAAAATGATACAAAACTCTAAGAAACCTCAAACTTCACAAGCAGATCATTGGATGGGTCTGCAGATCTTAGGAAGATAAATTCACTTCATGAAAGAGAAAATGAAGCCTCGAAAATACAGTAACTTCTAGCTTCTTTGAAAATGCAAATCAAGATTGGAGAGATGGCTCAGTGGTTAAGAGCTCTGGCTCTTCTTCCAGAGGACCCAGGTTCAATTCCCAGCACCCACATGGCAGCTCACAACTGTCTGTAGCTCCAGTTCAAGGGTATCCAACACCATCACATAAACATGCATGCAGGAAAACACTAATACATGTAAAATAAAATTAAATACGTTATTTTAAAAGAAGAAAATGTTAAAAATGCATATTGGTCATCAATGTATGTCCTTGAGGAAAATTTCCATTGAAAGGTTATTTATATGCACATTGTGGAAGTTATGACACTGATCTCATGTATCTTGGTTTTAAACTTATTAATTTAATAAGGCTTCTTGATGTTCATCTCAGTAAAATGTAGTTTATGTAAATGTTTCAGGAAAGAATTGGCAAGGATGATCTTGACTGTGGGAGGTAAGCAGCATTTAGAATGTTAAATGCTTACAACATTGGACATTAGATGTATGCGGATTAATTCATGCTTCGTTTGAAGATAGGAAATTAAGATTCTGGCCTGCTGAAAACCATAATAGTTAACAGGAACCTACTGGCCAGTTTTATCACGTTTCAAAATCTTCCTTCATGTGCTTCAATTAAAATTCTTTTATGTAAAAGCCAGAGTCACAGTCCCTACTTCCTGCCTGTGACTCAGAGTTCTTTTCACTCTCAAATATAACTTTTATCTGCATAGTAATTACATGATTGCTTCATAGAGTTAAAGACATCATGTGACTGCTACCTTGTCAGTCTGTCTGATTCTGTTCCTCTTTTTACCATTACAATCATTCGAGGTCTGAGCTAAGGATATAGCTCAGCTGGGAGAGTGCTTGCCTAACTTGTACGAAGCTCTGGGTTTGAGCCCTAAATCCCCATAAACCAGGTGTGTTACAAGTCTGTTACAAGTAAGGTTTTTCCTGCTGGCCTGGACCCACCGTGGCACCAGCCCCAAATAATACACAGACACTGTATTTGATATTATGCTGTTGGCCAGTTACTAGTTTCTTATCGGCTAGCTCTGTCTTACGTATTAACCCATTTCTATTCTAAGTATTTCCACGTGGTCTCATCTTACCAGAGAGTGGGCCCAGACCTCTGTTCTCTCCAGTCTCTCCATGTTGACTCCTCCCTACTACTTCCTCGAATCCTCCTTGTCTCCTAGTCCCGCCTATCTTGCTTTCCTATTGACTAACAGTGCTTTATTCATTAACCAGTATGAGAAACATATTTACAGAATGACCTCTCCCATCACATGTCTATACTCCCAGCACTTGGGAGATGGGGAAGGAGAATCAGGAGCTTAGGGTTATCCTTGGCTATATAGAGAATCTGAGTCTACAATAGGAACTTTAAAAAAGAGAAAAGAATTATTTGGCATTTGAGCATATAGTGTAACTGCAGTAAAATACTGTACCTATAATGAGATTTTCATTTTTATTGTAGAGCTATTTGATGTGACTTGATATTTTAATATGCCTTAAATGTAATATATATATATATATATATATATATATACATATATGTATAAATACACACACACACACACACACACACACATATATATATATATTCACATTACTAGGGGTTGATTGCAGCTCCTTGTACATACCTGGAAAACATTCTACCACTGAACAATATTCCCAGCAATAGTATTTTAAAGATGTCCTCTAGATGAAACCATTTAAACCATTTATATTACCCCCTAGCAACCCTTCAGTATACTTTGGATGGACATAATGACTCTGAATGCTTGTTGCTTATTCCCAAGTGGCCTTAGCCCAAATGCTGACTTTAATGTCTTATTCTCTGTCATATTGTGAATCTCTAGATTATAGCCAGCAGGTTGCTCTTTCAGAGGCACTGTGTAGGATGGCCGTTGGAACACTGAGAAATGAGCTTGCTTTCCAGTGGTTTCATGACGCAGTCCTGGCTGAAGCTTTCAAAGAAATTAAGAACCGAGAATTTGAGACGGTGAGAACTCTGGTCATAAGAGTCTGCTTGGTCAGTATTTAGTGAGATTCCACTCAGAACTTTCCTGAGCTGTAGGCTTAGGGGAAGGTTTAATTTTCTTAAGGAAGAAAATTTTATTTTCAATATATATATATATATATATATGTATATATGTATATATACATACATATATATTATATAATGTGTATGTATGGGCGGGTGTGTGGGGGGACAGGTGTGTGAAGGAGCATGTGTATGAATGCAAATACTGCTGGAAGCCTGAAGATGGTGTTGTATCCCCTGGGCCTGGAGTTACAGGCCATTGTGAATCTCTTGACAGAGGCACTGGGTGGGGACCACAGTAGGGCTATCTGCGTAGCAGTGCATGTTCTTAACTTCAGAGCCGCCTTCCCAGCCCCTCACTGTTTAAAGTATGATGGAGTCACAATCTTAATTTTCTGTTCCCCCACATCAGTGAAATATTTGAAGGTAGCATAAACAAATATTTGGGGAACACGTGAGAAGATACGTATAAAATAGGGCTTCCTTAGAGGGAACTGATCAAGGAGACACTGAATTTGCTGGGTCCCAGCAAGGAAAACATTTGGAAGCAGGTAGAGATTTTGAATCCTCTTTAAGAGTAGGGATACAATTGGAGAAGAAAAAGCAAAGAATTGGAGCCTCGAAGAGAGAAACTGACCGTGGCAGGTGGCTGGCATCCGCATTTGGCATTTGCACTCCAGTGGTGAGAACCATAGAGTGGTTATGCTGTGTGCCACCTAGCGGCTGCAGCTGGAAACACAGATTTGTGGTGTTGGGTCTTTGTTTTGTGGAGTCTTAGGTTACTGGGATTGTTCCTAAGGAGCCCAGAATGGCTTTGTTGGGTATTGCCTTTTCCTACAATTGCTAATGTACTTCCTTCTTTTTATTTAAATTAGAATCAATCTATTTTACATGTCAATCCCAGTTCCCTCTCCCTCATATCCTTCCATGCCCCCCACCGATACCCCCCCCTTCCCAGGGAGGATGAGGCCTCCCATGGAGGGGTCATCAAATTCAGTCACTTCATTTAGGGCAGGGGCTAGGCCCTCCTCCATGTGTCTAAGCTGAGAGAGCATCCCTCTATATGAAATGGGCTCCCAAAGTCCATTCGTACACTAGGGATAAATATTGATCCACTACCCGAGGCCCCATAGACTGCCCAGGCCTCTTAAGCTAATATATTTCTTTATTCTTTTCAAAATATTTTAAATTAGGGTTAGAGTTTTAGGAAATGGTAAAATTCATCTAAAGTATCCATTTTAACGGTCTTCTAATCAAACCCCATGTGTAATTGGAATTATTACATGATTCACATTATACTAAATTTGAACCTTTATATTGTGTATCTTAGATTCTGGCTGGCATATTCACAGATGTGGTATGTTCTAAATGAGAAGGTCATGATTCCAGGCTCTTTTAGTCAACTTGAGTTTGAATTTTACCTCAATTAGAGTACCACTTGCCTGACTCAGGGAGTGTTTGTATAATGTAGATATGGTTGTGGTCTAGTGAAGTCATACTATTTCATCTGCAAAGTGGGATCAATTCCACCTTAAATAGAGGAGTTTCTTAGGGTTACTATTGCTGTGATGAAACACCACGACCAAAAGCAACATGGGCAAGAAATGAAGGGCTTATTTGACTTACAAATCTGGAATCACAGCCCACAGAAGGGAGCCAAGGCAGGAACTCAAACTAGGCAGGAACCTGGAAGGAGAAGCTGATGCAGAGGCCATGGGCAGTGCCACATACTGGCCTGGTCCTCAAGGCTTATTTACCCTACTTTCTTATAGCACCTAGTACTACTATCCCGGGGTGGGCTTTGTTCTCCTACCTCAATCACTTATGAAGAAAATCCCCTAAAGGCTTGCCTGAAAAATGTTTGGGAGACATGTTGGAAGATAAATATAGGGCTTCTTTAGAGGAAACTGAGCCAGGAGACAAGCCAAAATTTGATGGGTCTTGTGGAGGCAATTTCTCAATTAGGGTTCCCTTGTCTAAGATGATTTCAGTTCATGTCAACTTGATATAAAAACCATCCAGCACAAGGAAAATGGAGAATGAGACGATGTGGGCAACCAGGTGTTTCATTATCTGCCTCTGCAGATGATGAAAACAGTAAATTATCTCGCTTCCAAAATCATCTCTGCAATTACCTCCCGGTCCATCATCTCTATCGAATTGATTTAAGATGAAAACCTTATGCTGCTCATGTCTATTTAGGCCCAAATATAGACTTGAAGTGTGAGAAACATTTGCCTCAAAACAGCTAGTCCTTGGAAACAAAAATGAAGACAAATCTGGACCCATGTCTGGTTGTCCTCAGAATGTCAGGGCAAAGGATTCAGTGCCATGAGGACAGTTGCTTAGGAGAGTTCTAGAGGCAGTCCTTGTCCTTGGAGTAGATGGCATAGATAACCTGCCAAGGAGAGGCATAGGCTGTATGGCTTGTGCGAGGCGGGTATTAGGGAAGCATGTGCTAGATCAGTTAGTTAAATAGTGGGCTCTAACTCACCAGGGAGATCTGTTTTTCTTGCTCAGTCTTTTGCCCAGATGAATCTATCACGCATTTGATTTGTGAGCCCTGAGTATTCCTCAGCCGAGTAGGCGATGCTGAGGGTATGAGGAAGCAGGCTCACAGTCTTCTCTTTGGGCACAAAGCATTGCTGACATAAAGAATGGACCCTTGTGAAGATTTCGGGTCGGTGGGGAAGGTAGTCAAGATAGTGTGCTTTTACATTTAAGACTTGTATTGCTTGTTCTAGGACTGTCGGCAGTTTCTCAATTTCCTGAATGACAGACTTGGTGACCAGAGAAGGTAACTTGTGTATTCAGGATTGTCATATTGATTAATTATAATCTGATATTGTCTGATGCTTAAAAGACTATCTAGGATTTTTTAACTTTAAGAGACCTATAGGATCAACATTTTGCTGATAGAGCTAAGGGGCTAATTGATTAGAAATTTAGGAAGACACCTATAATCCTAGTATACAAGAGGCTGAAGTGGGTGGGTTGTTTTTGTTTGCTAGTTTTTCTGTTTTCAGTTTTATGCGTATGAGTGTTTTACCTCTGTGTATGTATAGCAGATGTGTGCCTGGGCGGCATTACATCTCCTGGAACTGGAGTTATAAACAGTTGTGTGAGACGTGATGTGGGGGTTGGGAACTGAACTCAGGTCCCCTGTGTGAGCAGCAAGTGCTCTCAACCATTGAGCCAGCTCTACAATCCTAACAGTTCCAGGATTTCATGAAGAATAATTTTGAAAAGACTAAAGATGCTCTAGAATAGCATTTCACAGACAGGTAAATGCTCAATGAGACAGTACTTGCTAAGTTCACTCTGTTCTTTAGGATTCGGACCAGGTAATTTTTCTGAAATGGGCACTAATAACCCTGACTTATAAACAGCCTGCTGGAGAGGAGAAACCTCCCCACAGTGGATCTCTATGTGCAGAGTTGTAGCCCTTCATATCTTGTATATAGGGTACCGCCCAGCATGTCACAGTTGTGAAAACTCATTGTAAGACAACTGCAAGTCGTTTGATTTTTATTGTGTGGCGTTTTGCAGGGTCTATTCATTCCCTTGCTTAGCTGCTTTTGCTGAGGATCAGGAGGTAGGTCTGTCTGTCTGTCTGTCTCTTCTCTTTTTCTAGAGCGTTTTAAGGGTGGTGTGAATGAAGCATTATTAGGTTTATACAGTTACAATCAGACCTGCTGCCAGTATTCTATACACACACACACACATACACACACACTCACAAATGTGCATGCATGTTCATATGTACAACGTGTGCATACATGTAGAAGCCAAAATAACCCTGGGTGTGATTCCTCAGGGACTGGGCACATAGGGGCCTTTTAAAAAGAATGCTAATTTCTTTTTAGCATGACCTCATCTTCAAACTGGTCTGATTGCATCATAAGCAGGATTTGTTTTCCAGAAAGCTCAAGGGATCTATGGTTATACCAGGAGAACGGATTTCAGAGTTTAGACCCTTGCTTCATTTTCCCTGTTGGCAGGAAACATTATTCATGTCTGAACTGGAAAGCAGAGTCAACCTTCTCTTGTTTTTCTCCTTCCCTTTTTTTCTAGCAACCAGGCCACTTTCGTGTCTCTGCACCTTGTGCTTTATAGCACAAAACACACGGTGCGAGCGGCCTTTCTTAACTGTGCCGTTGTAGCTCAAACATGGTGGCTCCTGTGTATTCTTCCATTCTACCTCATTCACTGGAGTCCTAGGCTAAACAGCTTCTTTCCCCATCTTCTTTGGTTTCTAGAAGAAAGAACAAGGACTCCAACCAATAGCATCACGATTTCCAAGTTAACTACATGAATTTACCTAGAGCTGTAACTCAGTTGAGATTTCTTGAATATCTTCATCAATCATTTCACTGTCACGGGTTCAGAGAGCCCCTTCATGGCTTCAGGAGCTGAGCCTCTCAACTTATAATACACCCACAGTTCCTTCTGTCCACGGCTGAATTTGATGGGTGGATGCTTGCCTGTCATGCCCTTCTCCTCCTCTGCCTGCCCGAGGATTTCATTACCTGCTTGGTTGGTCTTTCCAGAGCTTGCAAGCTTCCATTTGCTTATGTCCTGGATCTTATATGGGAGTCATGCCCTGGCTTTCAGTGTCAGTGTTGAGAGGGAAACCCTCTGTTCAGCTCTGTAGCTTCTGTGGTAGGCTGGAATGACAGGAAGGGAAAATATCCAAAGAATCCTATTCACTAGAAAGGTGTTATAGAACAGTAAGTAGGTCTAGTGTTGGATCCAATGTTGGGGAATAAAGGCATAATACATAAGGTTGAACATCCTAATGACAAGAATCTAAAATGTTCCAAAGTCCCTGACCTACTGAGTTCTCCATGACATCAAACCAAGCTTAGTCAGAAAAGTACCTGCCTTACATGCATAAAGACAGGAGTTTAATCCTTAGAAGTCATACTATAGTTTAAAGCTAGGAGTGGTAGTACCCACTTGTAATTCCATTCCTGGGGAGGTGGAGACAGGAAGACCCCCGGACTCAACCAGATAGAACTTAGGGAAGTCTGGGCCCAGATGCTGTCTGAAAAATAGAGAGGTTGATGGCACTTGAGGCTCAACATCCAAGGTTGTCGTCTGGCTTCTGCACACATGCATACCTACACACGTGCACATCCACACCAACACCCCACACATAAATACATATGCACATAAAGGGAAAAGTCTGATGGGCCACAGAGATGGCTCATTGAATAAAGGAGTGTGTGCTAAGCTCAATGACCCAAGTCCAGTCCCTGAGCTATGCTTGGTAGGAGCAAACTGGCTCCTACAAGTTGTCCTCTGGCCTCCACATACATGCTGTGATGTGCACTCATGCGTATGCAAACACACAATGTGATGTAAAAGAAACTTAAAATCTCCCACAGCTGTGTTCATGCAAGGCACAGGTGAAACACAAGTAGACTTAAGTTATTGTATAAAATTCCCTTCAGGAGGTGAGTGTGGGTTTGCTGTGTGAGTGAATTCATTCCCCAAGGTAACTCATTATGTACGTGCAGACATTCCACAGTCAGAACCTCTCTGGTCTAGGTATTTCAGATGAGCAGTGCTCAGCCTGGTCTCCCCGTCACTTGTCTAGAAAGCCTCTGGGAGGATTTAGGGACATTGAAAATGGACTCTCTGGACAGATGCCCTGTGGAGAGTCGGGGAGAGAAGACATCTACTCTTTCTAGAACACCACATTGCTTGAATCCTCGATTTTCACTCTAAGTATGTATTTATTTTGTAATGATAAAAACAAGTAATTTGAACTCCAGTATTAACTAATCTCTGACTGACGGTCAGCTGGACATCAAATTGTCATTTGTTCACTTCCAGTATCTCTTCTGCTGGAAGTTTCCATCGCTGTTTAGTGAGGTTTACTACCATTTCAGAATGAAACAGGTTTCCCCTACCCCCATGATTTTCACCAAGAAGAAAATAAATAGTATGGGTAGAGTTGTGTGACACAGTTAAGTATCTATTAAGTATGAGGGCAATAGAATCTTCCCAGAAACAGAGTAAGAGACTGAGACCCACTTGCTGATTTACACAGGGCTCTGGTGATAGAGCTGCTGGTAGTTCTGCTCCAAGATGTTAGCCATTTTAATTGCACCCTTTGATACAAGATTCCTGCATAACTTGCTGAAATTCTCCCACAGATGAGAAAACCAGCGGATGAAAAATTAGAGGAATTTTGGATTGATTTCAACCTAGGAAGCCGAAGCGTGACTTTTTACATAGATAACAGAGAGGTAACTAGGATTCATTTCCCAGCAGCCCTGAGCATTTAGGAATTCTTTGCATAAATACTATTTCACATTCTCATTATTTTTACCCTGTCTTTTTTCTCAAGAGTGCTCTGTGGGAGCCAGTACAACTCTCAAAGGAAGCAGTGGTCAAGTTCAGCGTAATGGGTAAGAGGATGATGTATGTCTTCCCTCGGAACTTTGTATTAGTTCTGTTGATGTTACAGTATTTAGTTAATTCTAGAATGTATTTTGATTATGTTCTTATTAGGCATCTTCTTTTCTAATTCTTTATTTAAAGATTTATTATTTCTATTTATGTATTCTTGTCTGTCTGCGTCCAGGAACACATGCATGTGTACAGGTGCCCACAGAGGCCAGAAGAGAGTGTCTGATCTCCTGGAGTTGGAGCTAGAGGTGTTTGTGAGCCACTTGATGTGTGGGTGCTGGGAACCGAACCTGGATAGAATGAGTTCTTGACCTTTAAGCCTGAGGTGGTCAGAGTGCCAAATCCTAACCACTAGACCACCAGGGAGTGTTTGAAATTTTCTACTGGCCTCATTACATGCAGGAGTGGGTTAGTCTCAGTTCGCAATTTAACTGACTCTTTGAAAGCTATTAACACGTAATTAATATAAAAATCATTGTGCTGTGTATGTTCATTTTTTCCCTGTTGTATGTTCATTTTTTTCTGTCCTGGAACTAACTCGTGTAGACCAGGCTGGTCTCGAACTCACAGAGATCCGCCTGCCTCTGCCTCTTGAGTGCTGGGATTTAAGGCATGCAACACCACCGCCCAGGCCCTGTTGTATGTTCTTATCTGTGTTAAATCTTTACAGTCTGATGTGGATGCTGTACTAGCAGGTCATGGTACTTTGTATTTGCCAATGGTTTCAAGTGGGTTGCCATCTTGACAACCCAGGAGGGGACAGACTGGTTTGGCCCCTTTCTCCTCTTTCTTTCCCCCTCAGTAGGCATATGGCTCCCAGGTTTGTCAGCTCCTTCATGATCTTTCCATTCTCTCTAGCTTCTACCTGTTTTTGTTTTTGTTTCCTTCTGGAGACTGAATTTTAACTTTGATGTGTTATTTTCAGTTTGGAAATCAACTGCTCATTTGCCAGCAGTACTGTGGAAGAGCTGTTGTTCTGAGATGTAGACATATTGACACATGCTTTCGTTCCTTCTCCTTAGGAGGCGTCTACTGAAATGGATATTGGAAACTGAATTTTAAAGTTATGCGGATTTCAGAGAGAGTGGGAGAGGGAGTCAGAGAATTTTGCTTAGTATATTTGAAACTAAAATGCCTGTTGTTTAACAAAAATTCTCTCATAAAAACATTGAATAGTGTCATTCAAGATGACATTTATTTCTTTACCAGTAAAACAAAAGATCCCTCATGTTTTCAAATAATTGACCTCTAAGTCACATGTTTTGTATGTATGTAAGTAAAAAGTTGAAGTCATTTCTATTTAATATGACTTTATCTTCTCATTGCAGAAAATTCTGAACAGTTGACAAAAGCTTTCCTTATACTGACACACCTGATATAACACATCTTTTTGTTAGAAAGTGATAGGAGGAAGATATTAATCATTTACCTGAAAGAGCCGATTATTATCAGCAAGAAAGAAGTAAAGACAATAGAAATCCACTTCGACAGACAACTCGGCATATCACAAGCTTCAGTTCGAGCTTTGGGAGAAGATGGACAGGTAGCCTCTCTCTCTCTCTCTCTCTCTCTCTCTCTCTCTCTCTCTCTCTCTCTCTCTCTCTGAGAGTTTCTTTGCACCATGGTTGTCCTGGAACTCATCCTATAGACCAGGCTGGCCTTGAACTCATGGAGATCCACTTGCCTCTTGCCTCCCAAGTGCTGGGATTTAAGGCTACCATGCCCAGCCTCATTCCCTCTGATTACTTGAAAACATGTTTTCACATCTCTTCATTCTCCATGTTGGACTTTGATGTATCCTGTGGTCAAGAAGAAGACTTGGGAGTTCTGGGTTTTAATTCCAACTCTCCCATGTGTGTCAAAATCTTAAATATGTAGGACACAAAGATTCCTCCTGTCTTGAAATGAATTGTTGTATCTACTGTGGACAGAGTGCAGCTTGTCTGAGGTATTATCACATCCCTGCTGTACTCATGAGGAGTACAGGCTTCCTGATCCTTCCTCCTGGCCCTGGGGGATTCAGTAGGGGGTCTCCTCACTATGCCCTGGTCTTTCCTGATAGGAATGCCCTGCACCTGCCCTGGGATTCCCTAGTCTCCATCTTGACCCCACTTTTTCCTACCCACACATAAGGGTGTTTGTCCATCACAGAAGTTGGCAAGGTAAAGAAATTTGTGACAAGAAGACATACAGTAACAGACAAGAAGGGACTGAATGGAAGGGTCAGAGGAAGGGAAAAAAACCAAAAAGAGGGAGGAAGTCTTGGCTGGTTTCCCTTTGTTTTGAGTTATGTATGAGAGCATCTTATATTGATAAAGTGCTCTGCAGATACAGTTCCCAAGTCCTGCACAGGGGGATGAGGTTGAGGGTTCCAAAGTCCTACACAAGGGGATGAGGTGAGGATTCCCAAGGTCCTATGCAAGTGAGATGCCTTGAGAGGAAAAAGCCTCCTCTATATTGCTAAAGGACAAACTGGCCTGCTGTGCTAGGCTTGCCTTTACTCACGAGGACCATGAAAATTATGGACATTCCCACATTTCCCAGTGTGAATGGGACGGTTTGTGCTGCAGATAAGGAGTCTGCAAGGGGCAGAGCCACAGTTCCTGGAGTAGGAAGCTCCTGTGAGGAAAGAGGGTGATTGGGAGGGTCACGTGATGTGATTGGGTGCTCACAGCTGAGAGAGCGCCACACCCCTGTCCCAAGGAAACCATGGATTAAAAGTCACCCCAGGGTTTAGGATGACTTGACACGGAAGAATAGAGCCCCATACAGTCTTGAAGCCCCACTAACATGCCCAGCCCCGCCTCCTAGCTCTCAGAACTACTGCACTGGGAAGACGTTTTCTAACATGCAAAAATTGACAAGCACATCCAAGTCATGACAAATGGCCGATTCGTCAAGACCAGGAGAGTGTAACTTAGAGCAAAGCAATAGGGAGCCAGAGATGGTCCCAGAAGGTAGTGGTTGAGGGATGGGGGTGTGTGTGGGGGATTGTAAGCCAGAAAGAACAGCATGCAAAAGAAGATGACAGATACTCAGCAGGCACCCTAATGGATCAGCGTGCTGGGGGACTAGCTTTAAAACCTTTTTTTTTTTTTTTTTTTTTTTTAAGGCTACCACATTGAATAGTTAAGTGGCTTTGGCTTTCATTTCAGACTCCTGTTTTGACAAAAGTCTCCCCTGACTTTGAAAACGAAGATGGTGAGATTCCCAGTAGCCACGAAAGAGAAACAGGTATGCTGAGAAGTGGCAGAATTCTGACTCGAAGTTCCCTGTAGAAGCATGAGGGTACCTTGGAAGAGGTTTGCACACCACTGAGCTGGTCATGTAACAGCATCCCATGAAGGGCCTGTGGTAGCCTTGAACCTCCTACCCCATCTGCGAATGTCCTCTTTGGAGACCTAGAAGAACAGATGCTGGGGGTGGTGGGATGTGGGACTCTGCAGGGCCCCGACTACTGGACAAAGCCTCTTTTCTTGAATCTCAATTTCAAGTGCCTTAGTTTTGGATTTGAGATTTGAGGTACAACTTCACTACTAGTTCTTACCACAAGGTGGCGATATACAAGAGCCATGCTTTTCTGGAGAGTAAGGACAGAGTGCTTAGATGTTCTTTTTCTCATTGAATACAGAGCCTACAGAAGAACCCACAGTCCTGCCAGAGTTTGTGTATGATGACCACGATCTCGAGGATGATGACGACGATCATTGCCTAATAACCCACAGCTTTAATGTCCACTCAGAGCCTGCTGTGAGTGAAAGATGGTTGGGGATTTGTGGCCTGCAGGATAGACAAGCACTTCCTCTCCTAAATGCTAGCCTGTTTTGTCTTCAACAGCAGACTGCCATTAATTTGTCTGTGTACCTCTTCAGATTGCTTTCCTCCTCTGAGCTTATGTATTCTCTCTGTTCATCGAACACAGCTGTCCCATGAAATGCCTGCCTGGACTGGTCTCTGACTTGTCCCCTCATTTGGGATCTAGAGAAAACTGTCTGCAAATTAATGCAGGGACAGAGCCTCATGCTGAGGGTCAGACTTGGTTTCCCTCTCTGGCTTGGGTCATATGGACATGTTGACTCATACAGCTCTTTTTGGGGCTTGGTGTCCCATCAATCAAGGTGTCCTACTTAGGGTTACTATTGCTGTGATGAAACACCATGGCCAAAGCAACTTGAAGAGGAAAGGGTTTGTCTGGCTTACTCTTCCACAGCACTGTTAATCACTGAAGGTGTCAGGGCAGGAACTCAAGCAGAGCAGGAACCTGGAGGCAGGAGCCGATGCAGAGGCCATGGAGGGGTCCTGCCTACTGGCTTGCTCATCATATCTTGCTCAGCCTGCCTTCTTATAGAACTCACCAACCCAGGGATAGAATCACCCAAAGTGGGCTGGGCCCTCCCCCAACAGTCACTAAGGAAATGCCCTACAGGTTTGCCTGTAGCCTGATCTTATGGATGTGTTACCTCAGTTGAGGCTCCCTCCTCTCAGATGACTCTAGCTTGTGTCAACTTGACATAAAATTAGCCAGCACAGGAGGTGACATGTAGCTCTTAGGTAGGATTTAAGAATGGGCGCTAAGTTATAGATTGGCTGGGGTAAGAAGGGCAGGTGTGTTATTTCACAGCGGGGTGACTGGGTAAGTGCTGCTAGGAGAAAAGATTTGGAGTGTTCTCACTATAAAGAAATGATAACTATTTGAGTACATACATGTGTTTGTCGTGACTTGTCAAGCTTTTTACCACGCAGACAATGGAGCAAAACCTTACATGATACATCACACATGTGCAGATTCATGTTTGAGCTTAAAAATGAACACTACAGCGTACCCTTGTGGCTTATTTAGGTATTGATTCCTTACGTGAACACATGGTACAGAGGTGTGACTGATAATGGTGTCAGCATTTCATGTTTGACAGCCAGAGATTGTTCTTTCAGATAATTGTCACCATTTAATGTCATCACCTTTAGCTATCTTGGGAAGTTGAACCCTTGGTCCTAGTGCTGGACCCTCTGGAGACATCCTTGTAGTGTTCTCTCTGGACCAGTGACATACCATGGTCATCTTTGGTAGCAAGTCCTTGCTTGTGATTTGGAAGAGAAAGTTTTGGAACAACAGAACCATTGGGAGCCAGTTGTGTTCAGCTGTTCTTTAGAGCTGGAGTGGGTCCCAAAGGCTGGAGACTGAGGCTTCCCTGATATCATAGTAACTTCTTTTTCCTTGCAGCAAACACATACAGAAGACAGTTCACCTGAAAAACCAAAACTACATGACCCCAAACAAGGTACAAAGAGCCTTCTCTACCATCTCCTAGTGATCTATTTAAATGTTTGCCCAAGATACTCACCATTGTTTTACTTTTAACGTTTGGTCCATAGAAGTTACTTCAAAACATAAGTATCCTTCAGATATGCAAGAACCATCAATTCAAACTCAGGCTTCTAAATTAAATGATACAAAGTAAGTGAGTTTTATTTTTAATGTATTTATTTTGTTTTTGATTGTCAATGGTAATTGCTGCACATTGATGCTCCCAAGCCTGTCTGTATCTGCAGTAAGTTGCAAGTTTATGGAGACATTGTAATGCATCCATATATGTATCATCATAGTAATTGCCCTGTTTATGGGAGATAGGGTGGTTATTTTTTTTTTTTCATTTAAGTACCAATTGTGTAGCAATCAATGAGCAGCTCTTGGCATATTTGCCTTAAACATTCTTCATCTCTGTATAAGTGAGAGTATTCAGTAGCCTCTTGTTATTTTGAAATGGAGAATACAGTGTTGTTGGCTGTAGCTACCCTGATATGATGCCAACACCAGCACCATCCCTCATGTCTAGCTATAATTATGGCCCAATTGTACCCCTCCACACCCTCACCTAGCTCCTGGAGACCACCGTTTTATCTCCCCCTCTATGGGTTGGACTGCGCAGATCCCACACGACAGTGAGGACATGCAATTCTTGTCTTTATCTGCTTGGTTTATTCATTTAGTGGAATGTCCTCCAGTGTCACCCATGATGAGAACTTTAGGATTTTATTCTTGGTGGATGAACAGTATCCCAGTGTGTATATGTACCATATTTTCTTTATCATTCATCTCTTGGTGAACATTCAGGCTGATTCCCCATCTTGGCTATTGAAAACTACAGAACACCCATATGAGCATGCTGGAAGTTTAGAGTTTTCCCTTTTCCCTAGCCTGGCCATTCCAGTCTAAACTCCACCTGAAGTTTTCCATAGAACAATCTTGAGTTGTGTTGGCAAACTCTCCTGCTCTGCAGCCCCCTGCAAACATGTCTTCAGGGTTGCCTTCAGCAATATATTTTTTTTTCCTGCTGAATTTGAGATTAAATGCAAGATTGGTGTACAAAACTCAGGCTTCTTCTGTTTGAAACACAAAGCAGAACCATTTGTTAACAGCTCTAGGACATGATATACTTAGGTATTAATTTGCAGGGTACTATTAGAACACAGCCATAAAAGGACTACTCCAGAACGCAGTGAAAGAGGAGATGCTGCGCTCACCAGGGGAACAATTTAATAGCAAAATGTCAAGTCTGCTCAAATTGATCTGAGTATTTAGTATAACCCCCAGTTTGAATATCAACAGGCTTAAAAAAAATTGTTGAGGAAGTTTCTCAGTTCCTTGTGGGAACTTCAAAGGTCCTGGAGTAACAAAATGGGTTTTCAAAAAGGAGCAAAGTGGCAGGGCTTTCACACTACCTACTCTCCAGACTTTAACCAAGAGAGGGTGACGTGGAAATGAAGACGTGGAAATAAAATAGCACGGAGTCATGAATGGCTTTGTCGGTCTGTGATGAAAACGCCAAGGCAGCTCAGTGGATAAAGATAGGTTTTCCTATAAACAATGTGAAAGCAACAATATATTCACGCAAGAAAACAAATGACCTTCCAATCTTTTCACTGTATAAAAACTAACCAAAAGTGGCTCATAGGCTTATATATAAAACTTACTTGGGACAAATACGTGAGTTTGCATAGGGCAGTTTTGAAGATGTCAAACCAAAAACAGCCTGTAAAAACATTAATCGATGAACTAGACTTCACCTCCTGCTCATTGAAAATCATTGTTAGAAAAGAAAAGCCCAGCCATGGCCTTGTTGGAATATTTGTAAATATTTGTTTCTGGCCTTGTAGCTAAAATGCTCAATGGTAGAGGTACAAACCATTGAAAATACAGGCAAAAGATTTAAACAATTCTGTCCCAAAGGAAAACATGCAGGTAGAGATGAGCGCAAGAGCTGCTCGGCATCTTTAGTTACGAGGGGACTGTGCATCAGATGACTGCGAGGTGCGTTGTGTGTCGTCAGGATGGCTAACCTTAGCCTGCACTCTATACTGTCTGCTGACAGCATAGAGAGGACAGGACCCTCATGCCTGGGGGTAGATTCGAAGCATTGAATATATACATTCCTGCCCTCTGGCCCATTTGTTCCAGTCTTGTGTATTTTCCAAGATGTCTGTCAGTGTATGTTCACAAAGGGAATGTGTGTCTTGTTTAGGTCAGCCATCAAATAGAAACAATCTAAGTGCTCATCATTGGATAAATGGATGAACATGTTTTGGTAAAGATGAGTGTCCCGAATCCAAATACCCAGGACAAGAAGTGTTGGGGCTTAGATTTTTGGAATATTTGTGTGTATATGATGAGAAATCTTGGGAGTGAGACCTAAACATAAAATTCATTTGTCCCTTGCAATGGGGTTACATTGATTTTATTCAGTGATTCAGTGCACCTGCTGTTCCAGTGACCCATCGCACAAGGACAAGCACGGGTTTTCTGCTTGTGTCAGCCTATGTGAACTCAAGATGTTTTGGCCTTTGGCATTTGGGGTTTTCAGATTTGGAATGGCCAACTCGCACGGTCAATGTCAGGTCTCTCAGTTCCTTCGGGTGCAACCCTAAGAGGGAGATTGAAAACTCATACAGTAGTCCTGTCTTTAATTTCTGTCTGTTGCATCACATTACTTCCCATGGACATTGCCCACCAACTGTCCACACAAGTCCCAGCCACCCTGCAACTACCCATGTTAACAGACTGGGTATTTTAACTTTATTTTCTGTGTATTGATATGAAGGTGCCAGACACCCTGGAACCAGAGTTACAGACAGGTTTTTAAATTGTCATGTAGGTGGCTTTGAACCTGGAACCTCTAGGAAGAGCAGTCATGCTCTTAACCACTGAGCCATCTCTCCAGTCCCCAAGGTTACTTACTGTTAAGCACAGACAGGAACCTACAGAAAATAACAACAACAACAACAATAATAATAATAATAAAACCTGATTGAAGAACAGGCAGCATCTCTCCACAGAAGATACACAAGTTGATACTCAGCATCACCAAACTCCAGGGACAGCTTTTGTTAAAGCACCCCAGATAGGTCCTGGGTGGAACCAGGCCTGGGAGATCTGGCGGACTGCTCACCCCGCTCCCTCCTCTGCCCCGCCTACTCCTTCACCTGCCCCTTTCTCTCCCCCTTCCCCCTCTCCTATGAAGGACTCTACAAAGGTTCATTTTCTTTTGAACAGCAGCGTGCCCTTCCAGAGAGTCTACAGCAACAGTGTGTAAGATACATTTTTGTCTGCAGAGCTGAGTACATCTCACAAACTTCGTCCATCATCAAGAAGCCAGACCTTTGCAGCAGGAGGAGGGTGAAGGAAGTGGTATTTGTCCTGTTAACTTGATATATTTTATTTTAGGGAAGATTCTGCTTTTGAGGAGGACAGAGGACAAGACAGGAGGAGGCCGGTAATGTAGGACTTTCTATTGCTTTAAGACAGTGCTTCCTAAATATCTGCTATGTGCATGCCATCTTCAAAATTGCCGTAATTCTGCTCCTTGTTTTCTCAAATAGTTTTCTCCAATTCACTACTAAAGAAATTACTGTAATTTCAAATATAAAATCGGTGTTATTTCTAATAGTAGGTAGACTCCTAGACAAAAAACAATACAAAGTAGCAGTACTAATTTATTGGAATACACAGTTACTTATTTTTCTGTTTGGTTTTTTTTGTTGTTCGTTTGTTTTGTTTTGTTGTTCATATGTTCTGTAGTCTTTGTGAGCTATTAGCTGTGGAAAGAAATATGTACCAGCCTGCCTCATGCAGTTAGATGAATGAGATCAATTAACAAAATTAGAAGAGGGGCAAATTTCATGTTAAATCTTGTTTGCTGGTAACTAGATCATGGAAGATTTAGAACCAAGTCCCTTCAGTCAACCTCTTGTACAGCAGCATATGTTCACAAACTTTTATAAAGGAGCCACCTTGCTTCATGGTAGATATGTGGTGATATATTGTTTATGATTTATTAAAGCAACTGGAGATCAAAATAGCAAAGCAACCACACTAGTTAGCTAGGTGGTGGTGGTATAAACCTTTAATCCCAGGACTCAGGATTAAGTGGCAGAAGGATCTCTGAGTCCAAGATCACCCTGGGCTATTGGGGAGTGAATCAGAGCTCATGCCTTTAATCCCAAGATTTGAGAGGTATAAAAGGTAGAGGCATTCAGTCTGAGAGTTAGTCTTTATCCATGTTGAGGAGAGCTTAGCAGTCTGAATGAATCTGAGGATCTGTGAGGTGGGGAGCAGTTTGAGGATTGCCCCTTTGGTCCGAGCTGAGGTAACAGTAATAGCTAGCGGCTGGCTGCTTTGCTTTTTCTGATCTTGAGCTTGAAGCTTGAACCCCAATATCTGTCTCTGGGTCTTTTAGTAAAGTTCTCCTGAGTTTAAGGTGTATACGGTCCCAAAGACAAGTAGCACATGCGTGTTTTCCCATAGAGGCATATAAAGGGTAGTTTAAACCTGTAATTAATACAGCAGCAAACCAGAGTGAGTAATGTAAAGTGAACTCACTTCTACACCTGGGAGGAGCACGAAGCACACTCCAAGAACAATTCCATGCTTTAAAGAAACCGAGGTCACACGATTCTTGTCCTGTTCTCTTGGAGTGGTGTCACAAGCAGTGAGGATTCTCTTCACACAGCTCTCTTCCTGGTCCGTGTTCCAACAGTTCACGGTTTCAGAAACTTTGATCTGTCACTGCTTGGCTAGTTGACCTGGGCCTGTGGTGGCATAGTAAATCTTGACAAGAGTACATGTAGGTGAACAGATCTCCTCCTTGGAAGCAAGGTGTGGAGTTGGCAAGTGTGCCAACCAATGCCTTTCCAAGGCTCCTGGAGTGAATTTACCTCCTTACCTAGACTCTCCTTCCCAAAGGCTACATCACTTCTGGCCAGTGGCCAGACAGGGGAGCAAATCTTTAACATAGAGGCCCTGGGGGAATGTTTGGGATCCAAACTGTATCGATCACTGACCCCCGCCCCCCAATGGAGTTGTGTGTGTGTGTGTGTGTGTGTGTGTGTGTGTGTGTGTGTGTGTGTCTAGTCCAATGCAAGAACTACTTTTGTAAATTTTTTTCATGTTTTTGTACATTTGCTGTAAAATCCAAGTTAGGTCAACCTTGCTGAATGACTTTTTAAATTGTATGTTTCAGTTAAAAAAAGGTGGCTGGCTCTTTGTGAGCCAATGGGTTGAAGAACTCTTGATCAGTACTGGGAGGGTATGTGGGGGGGGTATGTAAATAAGGCTGGCTGTTGTTATCCCAGATCTGAGGGACGTCCAAAAGACCACCACAGAGACTGACTCCCATATATATATGTAAAAGCAAAGAGACTTCATTTCAAGCTCAAGTTTGGATCCTCCGGGAGTCTGGGATTGGAGAGTGTTGAGTTCAGTTGGGGTAGGGTTTTTATCATAGCAGAAGTTGGAGTGATAGGATTTCTGAAGTTCAGGACCCCTCATTGGCTGACATTTGTCTAGGGGCATCTTGGTGAAAGGGGATGGGTGTGTACTGGGTTAAGGGACATCTGGTAATCCTATCTACAGTGGTTGAAACATTAGGTATTTTCCCGTTGGATGCTGATTGGTCCATTCCTGGGTGGTGCCTGGGTGGTCTCAGTTTGTGGTCTTTCCTTAGGTTGCCTTAGGCTAAATGGAAACTCAGGCCTACTTTCAGGCTGGTGTCTAACTGAGCCTGTCATGGCAGCAGTGTAGCCAAGCTGTCCTGGACCCAGTTCCTTTTAGGAATTTCTTCTCTGTCATCAGTTCGTCTGTAAGGAGATGAATGCAAAAAGGAGGTATAGTCTATATGCACAGTTGAGACAGTTTGACATTTCAAAAGAGGACAGCTGGGCCATTTTTAAGAACTTGGGTAAATACAGGCAGTTAAAATAAACCAGGCACAAAAAGAATTTCGCTACATATGAATCAAAAATAGTTGAATAATAGAAGAGAGGAAAATGATGGTTATTAGGAGTTGGGAGAGTAGGGGAGGTGGTGAACACAAAATTTCAGTTAGGAGGTTCAAAGGATGTATGGTCTATGCACTGACTGTAGGCAATAGTGTTTTATACATGCAGGTTACTATGAAGGTAGTGTTAAGGTGCTTTCTTTTTTAAAAAATATGAGGTGAAGTAGCACATGTACTCATTAGATTGATTTAACTATTTCATAATGTACATGTATATAAAATGATTGTATACAATAAATGCATGCAATACTTGTCAATTTAAAAAGAAGTGAGAAATGGCAAAATGAACATTTGGAAGAAGGATAAATTTGGATTGTAAAACATGAATTTAAACTCACCATCACCCACGTTACATGTTACGGCAGTGTTGGAATTACAGCCAGGAGAGAACCTGGGCTTGTAGCAGGATGTTATTTCTCCCAAGATGAATTATAGTGTGTGTCTGTGTGTTTGTGTGTGTGTGTGTGTGTGTTGTTTATTGTATGTAGATTGTGGTATGTGTGGCAACATATTTAATTATATGCCAGGTAGCAAGCATTAATGCAGGCTTTTGCTGTTCTCATTCCTCATCTGTTTTGGAAAAGTTTAATTTTAGGAAACATTACTTCTCCGAGAGTAATGAAGATTCAGGCTCAAGCACCAGTAAACAATTTTGGACCCAGAATTACAAACGGAAATCCTCAAAAACATATTCCCAGAGGAGGAAGCTGAGAATCAGTTCTTTCAGGAGTAAGCTAGTTTGTGTATGTTGTCTTGGGCCGCTTCTCAGTTAAGTTAGCGGGTAATTATGCTTTAGTATGTGATGGGAGGAGGAAGGTACCAGGGAACTATGTGGCCTTGGAGACGGCTTTCCTAATAACATCTACCAAGGCAGAATGTTTGCTTCAGTTGAAATACGGTACGGCAAAACAGTGGGCAATCAGGCAGGAGGAAACCATCTTCTGTGAGAAGTGGGTGGGTCTCAGCTAACTCTTGGGAAGGAGTAGGATTTGAAGAACTGGGAAGTGGAGTCATTGGTTTAATAAAGCCAAAGTGTGAGGGTGATGGTCAAGGCAGGGGTGAAGGGGAATGCGGCTAAATGACTAGGAAAGGCTTCAGATCACCTGCCTCATTGGCGGAAGCTTGTAGAGTAGCCATGTATGACTGGGGGTGTCTATGTCTCATGAGGAAACACATCCATTGTGTGCTCACTTTTACTTTTCAGTCCTACCACTTTCCCCCATCAGGAGTGACAGAGCCTGCAAGGAAGATCAGGTAAGAGCACCCACTGTGCCCCAGGTTCTTATGGGTCAGCCCACATCACTGTCTTCACGACTGGAATAGAGTCTGCCAATAGAAAGGCATGGGCATCTAAATGTTTGCTATGAGTTTCAGGTAGATTTAGGGTCTTTTCTGGTCATCCTGAACACTGCTAATGGATCTTTATTTAAACACCCCTGTTGTCCCGATTTCCCAAAAATGCTGGCTCTTGAATGTCTATTTCAAAATGAACATGTTGTTTTATTCTTCTTTAGTTTTCAATTTACTGAGATGATTTTTTAAAAATCACCTTCGAAGTTTTGTTTTTTAATGATTTCAGCATTTACATCTGAAGTTTGCAAGGTTGAAATATCTTTAGATTCATATAAGTTTTATCCATAAAATTATAAAATTCCCAATTTCTCTTTTACCCTTGCTTTATATCAAAGGCCTTAGGGATATGGCTACTGCAAAGGGAGAAGACTTTCTCCATCTATCTTGGTCCCACTGGAAAAGGTTTCCCTCCACCCACTGGGTCCCACAGCCACCTAAAAATTAATCACTCAGAGACTTGATACATATTTATAATTGTTTAGCCACTGACTTAGGCTTCTTACTAGTTAGCTATCCCTTAATCATTAACCCATTTCTGTTAATCTGTGTATCACCATGTGGTCTTGAGCAAGAATTCTCCGCTGGCTTTTTGGTGAGGGTGTCAGGTTGATTTCCATTCTCAGTGTCAGACTACAGGGGAGGATTTTGGGGCAAGGGTTAGAAAATACTTCGTGTTAAGGGGAAGAGAAGTACTGTATCCTTTGAAACCCTAGAGACACCACAGGAGCACATCATCTCTGCCTCTCCCGTCAGAAGACTGCCTTAGATTAGAAATGAATGGGCCTACTGAATATTTATTTATAAGAACTAACAGTGAGCTGCAGCTTGTCAACTCCCTCTTAGGGTCAGCAGAATGACCAGGATGGCTTGGTAGGAGCTGGATCCCCAAGTTTATGATGAGTAACTTGTAGGTGAGAGATGGAGATGTGCATTTCTGTCGAATTCCTCTGTTTCTGGGTTTCTAGCCTAGACCACACTTAGGGCCCCCAGGCTGGAGTTACCAGTTAAGATTTTACTTCAGTGTTCTTCCAGTTTGGGGATGTTAGGGATTTAGTGTGTGTTGTTGTTTAGTGCAGCAGATCCAATACTCAGTCTCTGTAAAGGATAATGAAAACATTCTTGGACGTTTTTTAGGGTTATTTTTGAGTGTTATGAATATTAGCATTTAACAAAACTATTATATTTCAGGCTACGCTAACACCACTATGGAAAGGCATCTCCAGGCAATCTTTTCCAGAGTTCTCTGATATAAAACTGCAAGGTAGTTCTGTGCTTTTAACTCCCAAGGCATCTACACAGAAAATAGGTACTTGATTTTCAGTTAATTTATATTATAAAAAATGTATTTGGGGATAACAATTTAGAAGAAACTAATTTTTGACTTTGTAGAATTATTTGCATGTGTGTGTTTGTGGGGGATGCTTTGTGTGACAGCATCCATGTAGAGGTCAGAGGACTACTCGCAGGGATTGGTTTGCTCCTTCCATGTGGGTTCCAGGAACTGAACTCAAGTCCTCAGTTTTCTCAGAGAGAAAGTGCCTTCATCCATTCAGCTCCAACCCTGGCTCAGTCTGCAAACAAGTGATGGTGTGATGATGATTCCTATTTACTGTTTCCATTAGCTGAGGGTGGAAGGCACTGTTTTAACTTTGCTTTGATACTTGAGCTCGGGTTGTACTTAAGACTCTGGGACTGCTTAAAGACAGGGACACTCATATAGTGACCAACAGGAAGGATCCCTAAATGTTTGAGAGGACAGAGAGTAAATAACTTTGCTTTTTGACCGTGTCTGTGTCAGCTCTACAATCACAGAACAAAGGCAGCCACAAATAAGAAGCAGCAACCAAACTTCTCAATGAGGAAAGGTACAGGACTTGATGGAATGGTAAATGAATTGTACCTAGCCTTTAAAGAAGTCACAGAAGAATTTCTCAGACTCCACAAACTGAAGAGGAGATAACAGTTTGAAATACACCTCATGAGGCCAATAGCTCTTCAGTTATCCACCATAGATAAGGGGATGGGGTGGGGTGAAGGAGTTACATATGAATATCCCTAAAGAACATAGATGCAAGACTCCACCAGTGTGCTGGCTAGTTTTCATGTCAAGTTGACATAGGCTAGGGTCATGTGGGAAGAGGGACCCTCAGCTGAGAACATATCTCCATCACTTTGTCTGTAGGTGAGTGTATAGGATTGTGAGAGGGACCCCAGATACCACTGTGGGCAGTGTCAACCTGAGCAGGCCATTCTGAATAGTGTGAAAAGCAGATTGGACAAACCACAAGGAACAAACCAAGCAGCTTGCTCCTGCTTAGTTCCTGCTCCCAGGTTCCTGCCTCGAGTTGCCCTGACTTGACTTCCTTTGATAATGCACTGTGAGGTAAAAAATGGAAATACCCCCCCCTTTCCTCTCCAAGTTGCTTTTTGGTCATGGTGTTTTGGAATAGCGCCAAGACAACTAGTAAACTGATTTCGGTGGCACATTACAAGCATCCATGATCAAGTGGGAATTATCCCTGGAATGCAAGGATGGTTCAGTGTATGAAAACTGATATTGGCATTCATCACAATAAGAAAATGAGGATAAAAGGCATCATTTCAATAGATTTGGAAGAATGTTGGAAAAAGTCTACATACTTTCATGTTAAAAAGACACTCAAAAATTAAATATAATATAATTTATAATATATAAAAAATTAAATATAAATATAAGAAATATAATTCATACATATAAACATATATATATGCATACATACATACCTCAGCATATTAAAGGCTATGCATTAAAAGCTTATATCTCATATTAAGGGGTAAAAATGTTTTGTCAAAGATCTAGAAAAAGTTGGCAAGGTGCCCACTCCACCATTCAATTCAGTACAGTTATAGAAGCCCTCACAAGAACAATAAGACAGAAATAAAAGGAATGATTGAAGCTATCACTTGATAGAAAAAGGAATCCTAAAAATGTTACCCCGAATAGTTAGAATTAATGAACCAATTCGTTAAAATTAGACAAAAATCAATATATAAAAGTTAATTGTGCCTTTCCCTGGTAATGTATGACTCAAGATGTGTGAACAAAGAGGCTCAGAACAGAACCCAGCTCCTCCACAAAGAAGACATGAAGAAACAGGTACCCTGTACCACAGGAGGTAGAGGGAAAGGGGTAGTATTGCAGTTTAATAAGGATGAGGATAAACAATTAGGCCGAACAGGTGTTTATTCAGGGAGAAATAACTCACAACATAGACAGGTGAACACCAGCAGATTCCTGCTCCCTAGGATCCTCCTTGGAAGCCCTCCTGTCCCTGTGAGAGAGCATTTCCCAGCTCCTCCTCTGACCTAGTTCCACAGGTCACTTCCGCCCCTGGATCCACCCCCAATGGGCGTGGTCAGTGCCACAGAAGGAGCCAAAGTGACTATCTCACTACAGGATAGATTGCCCTGGCCTAGGACATCTAGGTGCTTGCCCTCTAGGATAAGAGGGTGTTGCCAGGTGTGTGCGGGCAGTGCCAAGGCAGTAAAATGGTTCCTGTTACCTTTTCCTCAACCTGTATTGAGCTCAAGAACCTTCCACTGACAGGGTATGGATAGGACACCTAGGTTCCCCTGCAGCCATGTCTACAGTGACTTGAAGAGTCTTGAATAACTCCTTTGATTCCAGCTAAAAAACCCTGTGCGTGGATTGATAGGCATAAAGGGCCTTCCAAAGGAACCTTGCCTAGCCAGGACTCACTCACTATTGGGCGTGTAGTCTCGAGGAAGGAAGAACACCAATGTTTCTTCTACCTATTCCCTATCAACACGGAGTCTGCCGTCACCATCATCAGCCACACACTGCTGCCAGGACCTAGTGTGTGAGCCAGAGAGAGGCCTGCATGCAATTCATGCCATAACTGGTTTCCGCATATCACCTGTCTCCGGGCTATCACCTTCACCCATACCACTAACTGTTAATGATGTGCCTCTTTTGGTTTTTATTTAATGGGCCATCTCCTTTGTTTTAAGCATTTCTGGTCTCCAAAGGATTCAGTCTCTTTGCTAAATCTTCTCTCTATTTTGGATTTTGATCTCCAAGTCATTAACTGTTAGATTCACTTTGGAGACTATATTGTGAAGGTCTTAGATTGGGTGGATTTTCCTCATCTGATTGACTCTTCTTCGTGATCATTAATTCTGTTAAAAAGTAAATCTCTGAATTCTTGCTCAGACATACCAGCTGTCTCAGGAGTTTTGGACTTCCCTATATGGGTTATTCATGTGAGAATGGCTCATGAGCAGTGGTTATGTTATTCTTAACAGACTTTTTGAAGAAAGACTAAGTCATCAAAGTCAGGAGAAGAGTCAAAATATATTGAAACAAATGGAAGGAGAAATAGAAGCATAGCAAAACTTGTGAAATGCAGGAAAAGTAGCATTAAGGAAGGAAATGTGGGGGCTGAGAGATGGCTCAGCAGTTAAGAGAACACTTGCTGTTCTTGCTGAGGCCCCAGGTTCATTCCCAGCATCCACATGGTGGCTCACAGCCATCCTTAATTTCAATTTCAGGGCATCTGGCATCCTCCTCTGGCCTCTGTTGGAATCAGGCATGAACACAGTGCACATACATGCAGCCAACACACACACACACACACACACACACACACACCTTTTTTAAAATTAGAGACAGAAGCCTATACCAATTAGTGTTTAGTTTTTTAATGCTGAAGATAGCCTAAATGTACCTCAATTAAAGAATTTAAAAACAAACAAAACAAAATAAACACAATGGACAGATAGGGGAAAATAATAGAAACTAGAGCAGAGATAACCAAAATAGGGACAAAAAGTAAGGCAGTGAAAGGTGTACTTTAAAAAGATAAAACAGTTACACCGTCACCAGCAGAATGAGACTCAGGTATAATTGGTGATGGTGAGGACATTGTAACTAATACCACAGAAATACACAGATTATTACAGGCAATTATAAACTATATCAACAAATCAGAGACTTAAGGAAATGGACGAATCTCTGGACACACATTCTACCAAAGCTGATCTAGGAGGACATAAAATAACAAGTGATGGAATTGGAGCAATAACAGTTACCTTCAAATAAAGGGCACTGGATAGCTAAACTGCTGGGGTTTTTTTTTTGTTTGTTTGTTTGTTTATTTGCTTGTTTGTTTCTTTTTTTCCAAATTTTAAAAGAATAATCCTCAAATTACTCCATAAATCTAAACACAGAAAACATTATGACATTAGGTGTCTTTCTCATTTGCTCTACCCTTAACTTGTGTGTGCACATGCAGGCCAGAGGAGAACTGTTTGGTGCCAGTCCTCGCCTTCTTCTGACACAGGGCTTCTTGACTGCTGCATACATTAGGCTAGCCTGGCGCATGAGTTTCTGAGAGTCTCCCGCCTATGTCTGCCTCCTATCCTTCCCGTGGGCACAGTGAAGTTACAGGTGTTTGTACTGCTACATCTGCCTTTTATGTAGTGTCTAGGATCAATGACAAGGATCCTAGGCTTCCATGGCAAGCACTTTAACTCACTGAGCCACCATCTCGACCTGTTGCCAGCACTGATTAACAGCATTCATTGCCTTGTTACCAAAATGTGACAAGGGTACAATAAACTACAGCACAGAATCCCTGATGATTATATAGGAATTCTTATCAGTACACTGGCAAGTCAAAAATATTTTTTCAGCATTATGAAGTTGGTTTCACAGCCAAACATTAGGCAGAACTTGGAGAATCCTGCAGGGGAGGGAGAGAAAGGACTGTGGTGATCAAGGATGCCACAAGAACCCCCCCCCAAAATCAACTAACCTGGGCTCATAGGGGCTCGCAGAGACTGAACCGACAGCCAGGGAGCCTACATGAGTATGACCGAGGTCCTCTGCATATATGTTATGGTTCTGTGCCTTGGTCTTCTTGTGAAACTCCTAAACAAGGGGAGCAGAGGCTGTGTCTGACTCTTTTGACTGTTTTTGGACCCTTTTTCTCCCACTGGGTTGCCTCATCCAGCCTGAATATGAGAGAGGTGCCTAATCTTATTGAAACTCAATATATCATGTTTGGTTGATATTCCTGGGAGGAGGGAGGAGAAACTGCAGTCAGAGTGTAATTTATGAGAGAAGAATTAAAAAAAAAAATAAAGAGGGTTTCATTATAAGGTTACAAAATTCAAGAATGATTCAGAGGGGAAAGGTGTGTGATGGAATTAGCCACCCAGGAAATGAGTATCAAGCCTGTACAAGTAGCAGGGACTATAGACCAGTGAGCGACCATTTGAATGATGTATGCTGGGCTGATCTTTAGCACAGAGACAAACAAAGCTGACTGTCATAAGAAATCAGCTTGCCAAAGTTATGACAACTTATTTTAAAATACCGTTGGTAAGGATGTGGGCAATGGCAGCTCTTGTATAGCAAACTAGTGCAGCTATTACAGAGACCCATCTGAGCTTCCTTAGAGAACAAAGGATAGATTTACCATATGGTGCAATGCTCCACTTATGTGAATGTAGTCAAAGGAAAGGGGGAAACCTTCCTGATGAGGCTAATACATGAGATCAGCCCAGGTGCTCCTATGCAGAAAGATGCACAGGTAGCAAAAATGTAGCTTTTATATAAAATGTGTTATTAAGCCACAGAGAGGAATAGCATCTTGCCTTTTGCATCAAAATGAGTGGAACCTGGGAGATTTGTGTGAAATGAGCCAAACATAGACCAGTACCATGTGTCCTTTCTCATTTGTAGGAGCTAAATTCTTCTTGGCAGTAGAAGCTAGACTACTTGAAGTTGAGGAGGGTTTGGGGGGGGTGGGGAAGGCTGCTAAAGGATGGTTGGCTTTAATCAGTGCATGCTATTTTGATGTGTAGAAGCATCACACTCAAAGCTGGGTAGTGGTGGTGCACACCTTTAATCCCAGCACTCAGGAGGCAGAAGCAGGTGGATCTCTGAGTTTGAGGCTGGCCTGGTTTACAGAGCAAGTTCCAGCACAGGCTCCACAGCAATACAGAGAAACCCTGTCTCAAAAAACAAAAACAAAGAGAAAATAAATATCACACTCCATTAATATGTATAATTCATGTTAATTCTAAAATCTGCCATGTCCTCTATGCTAGCAGAGAGTTACCTGAAACAAGATGATCCCATTTATAATGGGAAAAATAATAGGAATAAATTAAGCAAGAAAGTGAAAGTCCTCTCTACTGAAGAAGGAAAAAAGGCACTAAGGAAAGTATTTGAAGAAGGTATGAGTACATGGAAGACTCTCATCTCCTGGACTGGAAGAATTGATGTGTTAAGAATATCACGCCATCTAAAGTAATTCGCAGTTTACTTGCAGTCTTTGTCAGCCTTCTAAACACATTCTTCACCCAAAACAGAAAAGTAAACTCCAAGAACTGGCAAATTGTTGATACTCTTGCAGTTTCAGGGTGAAAAAGAATTAAAAATGGACGAAACACCCAAATGCCCACCAAACATATGAAAAGGTGCTTGGTGAGATGTGGCGCAACTTAAATGTCTACTAGCAAATGGGAGGTTGACAAAAGTGTGGTGAGCGTATGATTCCATCCCATGTTCTATAACAAAGGAAGTCTTGTGGAAAAGGTGAACCCACAGGGTGTTTCACCGCATGAAATGAGCCAATGGAGAGATGCTGTTGTATGATCTTTACCCATGTGTGGGATCTAAGAATTTCAAAATCATAGAAGCAAAACATATGTTTACCATCATCTTATTTGATGGGGAGAATTGGAGATGTCAAAGCATGCAAGCCTTATATTTTTAGATGAACAATTTCTGCATGTGTTAAATTAATTTGGATGTAATAATCAGTAAATGATGTATGGGCATATCAAGTCATCACACACAGGAAAGAGTTAATGAAATAAATAAAGGAGGCAACTTAAGTCAGAGGAGAGAGAAGCAAGGTTGGGCGGAGTCTTTATCCTTGTTCTTAGGGCCAGATGGGCAGCAGCTACTGAGGCGTATGGATGTACAAACCCGTACAAACCCTACAAATATACATGCCCCAAGAGACACACAACTTTTGTTTAGGACTCTTCCTCATCTTCTAATGATGAGATTTGGCACAGAGAGCAGTCACGCAATGCTATTTGTCTGTGTTTCTTGTTCTATTCACTCACTGGCAATTGTTTTCTTTAATATTCAGAACTTCAAAGTCCTCTGTCATTGGGTAGTCTCTCTCCCTTAGAGCACCCTGAATTTGAAGAAAACATTCCTCAGGTACTGTTTATTATTCAGTTTTATAGAATTAAAATTATATTTACATGAAACAATTGCATATTCTGATGACAGGATGCTACAGCATCATTTTCTTGTTTTACAATTATGTATACGTACTAATGATATGTGTCTGTATTTTGTGTTTTAGATTGCAAACAGAGAGACGTTCATGGAAAGCAGTAGCTTCAAGCACAAGCTAAAAAACTCAGAACACACAGGTCGTTAATTAATTCATTTTTTTTTAACAGAAAGAAAGTGAAATTAACCTGGGCCATTTTTCGGATTGTACATGATTACAATCACTTGCACACGTTCCTCTCGTATGTGTTTTTAAAAGTGCTGGTGTCCCTTGATTTTGTGATCTAATTCCTCTCCTTTATCTTCAGGTCCCAACATTTTCTCCTCTGCTCAATCCTTTCTACCAATCAGGATTTACCCTGAAATTTCTGATTGGGTAATTGAAGTTTTCAATTCTAATTTCCTGTCAGCTTGAATTTTCTGAATTTTCTTCAGGATTCCTATCTTTTTTTTTTTTTTTTTTTTGTAGTCACTTTTTAAATTCTTAGCTGTCTTCATCATTTCACTCAGCACACGCTTGCATTTTCTTGAGTTCCAAGCGGGAGTTTTCTCCTTTTCTCTTTTAAGTTCATCCATATGCGGTTGGTCTCCTTAATCTCCTTGGATTCTTTGGTCATGTTGCTGTTATTTTTTTTTTTTAAGTGCCATATCATTGGGTTCATCTAAGTAATTTTCCTTGGCAAAGATTCCAATAGTTCTGGGAAGAGTCATGCCCTGGCCTCTCATGGTTTGTATTTTGTGATGTGACCTGGGCCCATGAACCAATTTCACTGGTTGTACACCTGAGCAGCCTCTGTTGAGTGGAAGGTTTTGCAATTGTCTAAGACTGGTTGTCTTCAGATGTGGTGTGAAGAGCTTGTAGGTCAATCCTTTCAGTGTTTGGCCTTGACTTTTGGCAGGATAGATTGGGTTGATTCCAATTCACTGGTAACCAAAGAGCAGGCAACTGTGGCTCCCAGTTGGGATAGAAAGGATATGGTATGAGGTGTCAGATCTGGGGCTGCCATACTGATAGAATAAGTAAGTGGCTCTTCCTGCTGAGTCAGGGTGATGTGCCTGGCTGTTGTGAAGGTGGGTGCTACTAATGCTCAGCTTGGGAGTGTTGGCGTGTTATTAGGACGCACTTGAGGGACTCACCTTGTGGATTCACTCCTATGCTACTCCAGATGGTCCTGGGGTGTGGGTGGGGTCTGAGACACTTGCCCGCCAAGCTTTTCCTCCTGTGAGAGGTGGTCTGGCAGAGTCCCGCTGGTTTATATCCCTGTGGAATTCTGGATGGGCCAGGCAGAGTTGTGTGGGGCCTACCATGTTTTCTTTAGTTAATTCATTTGTTGATGAACACATGGGTTCATTTCATAACTTGATTATTTTGAAATGATGCCTTAGCCAGGTATCTTGGTAGTATGCAGACTTAGAATCCTTTGGATATAGGCCTGGGAATGATATAGCTGTGTTGTAGTTCTGTTATTAGAGTTTTGAGGACTCTTCATATTGGTGTTCATAGTGATTGCACTAAATGCATTCCTAACAACACCAGACAGTAACAACACTCCATCCTTGCAGTATCTATTATTGAACTGATGACTGAGATGAGATAGAATTTCAATATGTTTTTTATTTGCATTTCTCTAATGACTAAAAGCTGACACATGGGGTTTTTTTTTCTTCACATTTACTGACCATTTATGCTTATTTTTTTGAAAAACATCTGCCCAATTCTTTTGTTAATTTATTAACTGGATTATTTGTGTATGTTTTTGAGTTCTTTATTTTTTCTAAACACTTGCCCCTGTTGGATATGTAGCTAGAAATGGTATTCTCTCGTTTTGTAGGCTGTCTCTTCATTTTTTAAATTGTTCCCTTTGCTATGAAGAAGCTTTCAAATTTTATACGATCTCATTATTTAATTCTTACTGTGATTTTGTAGGCAACTGAAGTCCTATTAGAAAGTTCTTCCCTATATCTAGGCCTTGAGGTACTCCCCCCCCCCCCCTGTGTTTTTCCCCAGCAGTTTTGGAGTTTCAGATTTTATAGTGACATCTTTCATACAATTAAAGCTGACTTTTGTAAAGAGTGAAAATTAAGCATCTGGTTTCACCCTTTTATATGTGTGCCCATACATGCCACGCCCTCCCCCCCCCCGTGCCATTTGTTGAAGAGGTACTAAAAGCCATCTACAGATTCAATGAAGTCTCCATCACACTTTCAGTGATAGTTGCCATATAGAAGTGTGTGTGTGTGTGTGTGTGTGTGTGTGTGTGTGTGTGTGTACCTTAAAATTAATAAGGATTCACAAAAGACCTAAATCACCAAAGCATCCCAAACAGAAGGAACAAAGCTGAAGGTACCATGGTACCTGACTTCACACAATTCCTCACATTCACAAGAACAATATGGTACTGACACAAAAACACAGCTCAATGAAAGGAATGGGAGATTCACAAATAAAGTCACAGCTACAGTCGTCTGGGGAAATACATTTGCTGTCTGCTGTTGAGGCTTTTTTAGAACACTATGTTTAGCAAGTCTGTCTGTACCTTGTGAAGCAGAAAATCCCTTAATGTGTCTGAGCTCATCTAAGAGATGTCTGTGGCCGAGTCCTCCTTCAGGCATCAGTGGACGCCAGTGTTTTGATGGTAGGTGTTGCTTGGTCTCCCTGCCCAATAACAAGCAATTAGTAATGAGAAGGAAATCAGGTTCACTTGTGTTGTGTCAAAGTTAAGTATTAATTGGCAAATAGAAGTCTTCAACTAGTGATAGTGCAATACATAAACGGCTGCCCCAAATGGGACATCTACAATACAATTTCTATACCCAAGACTCAGGGGACACTACAGAAGTGGAGGTAGAAATGTTTTAAGAGTCTGGGGACCAGGACTAACACTGTGTGACAGTTTCTTCTAGACAGGACTGTTATGAGTAGTTTTTCCGCCAGCCTGGTCCCAGAACTGTGCCAGCCCCAAATAACATGCAGAGACACTGTATTGATATAAAGCTGTTAGCTTGTTATAGTTTCTTATTGGCTAGCTCTGTCTTAAATATTAACCCACTTCTATTAATCTAAGTATTTCCACGTGGTTTCATCTTACTGGAGAAAGGGGCCAGCATCAGTCTCTACATGCTGACTCCTCCCTACTACTTCCTTGAATCCTCCTTGTCTCCTAGTCCCACCTATCTTGCTTTCCTATTGGCCAACAGTGCTTTATTCATTATTCATTAACCAATAAGAGAAACATATTTACAGAATGACATCTCCCATCACAGGACAGGGATGTTGCTCCCATGAACTTGTGACAACATGGCTGCCTGCACAAAGACCTGCAAAGACCACACCAGTTGGCACACCATCATAGATGCAGGACAACCTCATAAGGCACACCATCATAGATGCAGGAAAACCTCACAAGGCACACCCTAGATGAAGAGCTACCAGAAGCCAATGACTGCTGAAGGGAAGGAAATAATGTTTTTTCCTTCAGGGCTGAGACCCTAATCCCAAGGAATCAGCCCTAAATGAGTGAAAATAAGTGCAATACTAATACGACTCAGTTAGAATGTGTGTTTGTTTGTGTGTGTGTTGTGTATATGTGTGTGTGTGGTATGTATGTGTGTGTGTGCTTATGTGTGTGTTTGTTTGTGTGTGTGGTATGTGTGTGTGTGGTTTGACATGTATGTGTGTGTGTGTGTGTGGTATGTATATGTATTGTGTGAGTTTGTGTGTGTGGGATGTATATGTGTGTGTGTGTTTGTGTGTGTGTGTGTATGTTGTAAGTGTAAGAGGGGGTAGCTTGGGGGACACACAAAGATTTGGGTGGGGAAAGGGTTGTAAAAAGACCCAAATCAACATAGAACAATGCAGATACAGTGGGCACATATGTGAGATGCTCAAAGAAAAGAGCACAAGATGCTTTGGCAACAAAAGAAATGTGCACACAAGAATTTCACTATACTGTTCCTTATGTTTAGAGGTACTAGATGGAGGTATTGCTGCCCCAAAGCAATCAAGATTAGAAGATGCTCCAGAATCCCCCGCTCTGACAGGTAACTCCATGCACCCAGCTGGCAGCTGAGGAGGGATGATTGATGTGTGTGTTCTTAAGGTACCATTGTGCATTACAAGAGCTACATTCTAAGATCACCAGGGCTACTGCAGCCTACATGGTAAGCATTTTGCTCTTTACGAGAGGAAAAAATTGTTACACAAATTTAGATAAAAGCAAGCAGCCTCCTCTTCTAGCATTTTGATGTCTGCACTGCAGCTCTTCTTTAAGATCTGCAGGTTCTGAAATCAGAGGCTTCTGCTTAGCCAGTTGTTATTATATTTGTGTGCATACGTAATTAATAATCAAAGAGAGTGATCTGGCATTTGTATGTGAGCTTTGCCACCTTTCTGGGTGAATAGTACTACATATTTAAATGAAGGACTCCCAAAAGACAGAGAAGCCCAGAGGCATGAGAAGGTTTTAATTTGATATAACCTACATTCTATTCCTGGAGCTGCTGGTGTAGACTTGCAGAAGTCATGGGGTGTCCATGTTTTGTGTGAATCCTAGAAATACCTACTATTTTTTTTTTTTTTTTTTTGGTAAGGAATGAATGAGTTGGTAAGTACAAACCCTTAATAGAGGTCTATTATATGCTTAGATAGTCTGGTCCCCAGGAATTCTGTCAGGTCATCCCCCTTGATGTAACCTGTTATAGCCTATGATATTTATTTATGTACACACAAGTGCATGTTATAGTGTACGCGTGAAGGTTACAGGACAACTTCCTGGTGTCAGTTTTCTTATACCATATGTGCTCCAAGGATTGAACTCTGGCCATCGGGCAGGGTGGCGATGCGCCCTCACCCCCTGAGCCATTTCACTGTTGTGTGTTCTTTACAACACCCTGTGATACCCAAGCCTTGCTCTCAGATACAGTGTCAATTGATCTTATTTAAGGTGCCAAGAAGGTTTGGATGGAATGAATACTTGATAGAGGATGGAATTTGGCGTGGGTGGGTGGGTAGGGTGTGTATGGTTTATATTTGTGCCTCTGGCAAGTTGTTCTGTCCTCTGGCCAGCAGATAGACCAAGTATGCCTACTTTAACATGTTTTTGTTACCTTTAACATTTTATTTTTGTTTATCAGATACTTCTACTCCATCCCAAGAAGATGTGTCAGAAAATGCAAATAGTTCTGCTTTTAAAACAGCCTTTGAAAACTTCACTAGAGAGCTGAAGAGAAAATTTGAGGTATCAGTCCACTAAAGCAGGAAATGTGGAATGAGCCAGGGAAACACTGCATGACCGCCTCGATACATGTAATATGTACGAAAGTTGAATGAGGAAGCAGAGGTTACCAGGGGCCAGGGGTGGGGGGTGGGGGTGGCAGGTACTGGTCATCAGGCACAAACAGACTGAGCCATCTCTCCGGTTCCATGTTTTCAATTTGTCAACTCTCTCTGTCAATAAAGTTGGGCAAAAAAGGCAACAGACAGAAAACACAGCTTGCTCTGAATTTAAAGTGCCAAGTCCCTTTAACTTTTCAGGAGTACAGTGTCCATGTACGGAGGTCTCCTGAGTGTGAGGCAGGGGCAGTCATCTTGGCTGTGGCCACTGATTTTTATCATCATTTTCCAAGCTGTAGTTTGTATTGATAAGCCTACTCTCTCTCCGTTCCCTCCAGTGGGACCAAATGTTCTTGGCTTGGTTTCACTGGTGGCATTTTTCAGAAGGCAGTGATTTGGGCCACGGTGACAGACGGAACCATGTGTGGGAAAGCAGACACTGAGACGCAGTGGGAGGGGGATGTGGAGGGTGTCTGTTTAGTAACAGCACATGTTTGAGACCCTGGGCATGCAAGCCACCTCAGCCTTGTCTGTGAAATGCCCATCACAGCAATTTCAGGCTTCTCTGACTTTGTCTTTTTATTTGAAAGTGTCCAATGGCTTCTGTATCAGCACATCGGAGAACCATCTATCTAACTCAGGAGACCTCCAGAACCCTGCTGTCTGCAATAAGCCAATGTATAATGGGCACATCAATAGTATGAATATAGCATTGTGTGTGTGTGTGTGTGTGTGTGTATGCATATATATGTATATATATTATAAATACATTGTATCAATAGTATGAATATAGGTTTCCCCAGTTTCTCTTGTTCATGATCATACCAAATCCGAGGTAATGCCGAAATGTACACAAGATGATGCCTTCCTGAAGTCTCTCGGCCGGAATGTTTTCCTTGAGCATCATTGTGTGCTGCTGGTAACTTTCTAATATGGTAAGCACTCAACTTATGTGCCATGTTTACCCCAAATAAATGTGTGTGGTTTTTTTGTTTTGTTTTGTTTGTTTGTTTGTTTGTTTTTTGGTGTGTGTGTTACGGCTTTAGCTCAAGCAGAAAGAGAGTCCACTTTCTTCAGAGAAGACAAAGGAAGTGCCAGGCTGCCTAAAGAGATTTTGGAACCAGATAAACACATGCAGGTAAATACTGGATGGAAAAGCAGAGGCATGGGCTTGAAGCAACATTTATCTGGTGACCACTGTGTGTGTATGTGTGTATGTGTCTGTCTGTCTGCCTGCCTGCCTGCCTGCCTGCCTGTCTATCTGCCTGTGTGTTCGCATGTGTTTGCATGAGCTCGAGTGGCTGGGAGTAAGCTCAAAGAGATACAGTGTGAGGGGATGTGAGGCTTCCTGTGTATTTTAACCTTTATGGTGTCGTCTTCTCCATCTACAAGATGAGAGCTGGAACTCAGCATTCCCCTTCAACCTCTTTATGATCTACCTGTGAACAATTCTAAAACATGTTTCTTAAAAAAAAAAAAAGAAGAAGATAATTTACTTGTAAAGACAGGACAGGCCCGGGGAGCCACGGAAAAACAGACTAGGTGAAAGGTGGTATGTCCATGCCACCGACTGTCATCTATCTTTGGGAAGAAATTGGTGCTTTTAGTTAATTACACCACTTTCTCCCTTCCACCTCCACCCTCTAGCCCCTCCCTCCAACTCCTTCCATGCCGCCCTGCCCCTCTCTCAAACTGTAAACATTGCATGCTTCACTGAAATAAGAGGTACCTTCGAGGGATAAGTAGAAATTTACAGAGAGAGACAGAAAACACCAGAGAGGCTGAGGGAGAGGACTGTTACTATTTAATTGGCGCACGTTTGGCGCACGTTTTATGTTTCTCAAGACGAGGAAACTTTGTAAATGTGTAATGGCGAGGCTACAGAGCACTGTGAATGAGCATTGTGAATTGCCCTCTTAACCACGTGAATGAGCCTAGCATTGTGAATTGCCCTCTTAAACACGCTTAGAAGGGTGAATGCGATCCTCTGCTGTGTGATTAGAAGATAGAATACATACAACAAACACCCTTACGACAGAGGAGTGAAGTAGGAAAGGGAAGTGAGTGATGGGTTTGTGTGCCTGGGGTCAGTTTAGGACAACTGCTAGGGAAGGACTTTTTGGATGAGATCTTGGAAGCAAAGATTTGAATGTCATGGGGAAGGAGAATTTAGACATTGTTCCATATTGGAGAGAATGGCTTGCAATGGGATCGGGGAGGGGGGATTAAAATGCATCATTTGAGTAAGAAGTTACAACTTTTTTCAAGTTCTTATGTACATGCAATGGCCAGACACAGCCATGGAGGGCTCTGGATTTGTGGAGTTCCTGTTGTGTTTTAAGGGCCTTACTGTCAACCCCATATCCACTTAGCTAACCCATGCTGAACAATAATGCCAGATGCTCACTCCATGCTCAGCATGAGAGCCAGCTGTGAGGGCCAGCTGTGAGGGCCAGCTGTGAGGGCCAGCTGTGAGGGCCAGCTGTGAGGGAGCTTTCTAATTATTAACAGATACCTGAGGTAGCCAGGCATGGCGGCCATGCTCATAATCCCACTACAACAGAGGCTGAGGCAGGAGAGTTGCTATGACTTTTGGCCAGTCTGGGATATGTAATGCATTTTAGATCAGTCTGAGATTGTAGAGTGAGACCCTGTTGCAATGAAACTAGGTACCATGTGAATGTGCACGCACATATTTTGACTCATGGTTTTGGAGGTTTAGTTTGTGATCAACTGGCCCTTGCTCTGGGCTTTGTGGTGGAGGAAGGGATCATGGAGGAATGGGTAGTAGAGAAAACTGCTCAACGGAGAGCCAGGAAAGAAAATTAAGAGCCCCACATCTCAGAGACACCTTTGGGGCATGCTTATAGTAATTCCAAGTAGGTTCTAAATCTGTCACTTTCTAATGCTACTACCCTGGGGCAAAGATTTTTAATATTTTGCATCCAAATGAGCAGAAAGCCACAGGGGCTCTGTTTATATGGAACATCAGGCCTGAAGGAAAACAGACAACGTGCCTGCAGACGAGCCATTTATATGGTGGTTAGACACAGAATGTGGACTGTTGGAAAATTTTGAAACTTAAAGCACAGAGGCAGGAAAGGGGTATGTGGATCTCCCGACCACAGCTCTCACAGCAGTACAGTGTTAGACAGAGGAAAGCGAGCATAAGGTAGAAGGAGAGGGGACATTCGGTCACCTTTCCCGGGGCCATCTGTCCTGCATTATGAAGCTAGTGATGACATGTGGTTCCTTCTGGGCTGCTGCCAGGGGCTAGGTGAGAGTTCACAGGTCTCTGGGATCACTGGGCAGAGATCCAAGGATGCTTATATGTTTTTAAGGCAAGACTGTCTGGTGAATGAGTTCTCTTGGGAACATCTGGTCACATCCAATTGGTCCCATTGAAGTCTGTTGCTTCGTGTTTGGCAGACTCAACAAGCTGGAGAGGTTTCACAGTTCTGTTCTTCAGGAGCTGAGCGACTTGGAGAAGGATCTTCAGGCTCTCAAATGCCTTGAAGAGGATGCTCTGGCAAGTTCCTTGTTTGTCCTGTCTCTGGGAATAAAGAGGAACTTTTCTAGGAAAAAGGAAGCAAGGGGTGTTTGGTCAAAATCTTTGTTCCTTTTCAGGAATTTTGGGAGAAACAGTCATCTGACTTGCAAACGCTGAGGTACTTTAAAAACTATTCTTTCTAGAAGCATCTTTTTGTTATTGTTTGTTTGGTAGGGTTTCTATATGGAGCCCTGGATATCCTGGAACTCACTATGTATTCTAAGCTGGCCTCAAACTCACAGAGATCTGCCACCTCTGTCCCCTGTGCATGGGATTAAAAGTGTGTGCCATCACATCTGGATCACTGACATTTCAAAAGCGTAACATTTTTATTATTATATGTGTGTTACGATGAAGGTCTTAGCGTGTATGCCACCACACACATTTAGAAGTTAGGGGATGATTTTGTGGGGCCAGGTTTCCCTCCTTTAAATGTCACCCTTATCTACTGGGCCATCTTACGGCCAAAATGACATTTTCGTGTACATATAGAAGACACTTCGCTCATATTTACTCTTGTCACTTCCTCTTGTCCTCATCCTGTTCTTGGTGGTCCCCTCCTTCTCAGGAACTAGTTTCCTTTCCTCCGGCAGTGGCCACCCCTGCCTCTCCCTATCTTGTTCCTGCTTTTGAGTCCCTGAGCTGCTAGGAGACACCACTCTGTGGGGGTGTGGTTGCGAAAATGTGAAAAGCAACTACTGTGTTAATGCTACCTCCATCACTATCAGAGTTTTGGCTTCACAGGACCCCTGCCTCCATATCAGCCCACACTTTGAGAGCAGCTGAAGAATGCAGCTCCGCTTTAAGCCCTCAGAGAAGCCTTCTAAAACACAAAAGGCTCGTTTATTTCAATTATCCCCTACCCCCCGGTTTAAGCAACCCACTCTCCAGTTAGCATCATTAGGTAGTAATTACTGTTTACATTTATCTCCTTCTCACTCAGGCCCTTGGGGAATTTAGCATGTCTTAGGGAACAGCTCTCTCTTCTGAATGTGCATCTTTAAACTTTTGATTTTATTCTTTTCTTTCTAAGGCACGAAAACAAACAGACTGCCCCCTGGCTTGCAAGTGGTAGATAAGCATGCTGCTCTGGGCTTGAGTGTTCAAAGTTTAGCATCCCTGCAAGAGGTTAGGTAGCTCAGTCCTGGAGATACCCTTTAGGTCCTTTCGACCTCTAGTCTATAGCTTCAAGGAGTTAAGGAATCCCGGAGCTTTGAATGGCGGTTGTAGAATGTCTCTTGTGTGTGGGCTAGTGGTATAGACAGTGGCTATTCCTAACATAGACCCAAATAGAAATATAAACGAAGCCAGGCTGGTCTACAGAGCGAATTCCAGGACAGGCTCCAAAATTCCACAGAGAAACCCTGTCTGGAAAAAACAAATACAAGAAAAAAAAAAATGAAAATAACTGGGTTACCACAAACCCTCCTCAGGCATTGTCTTGTATCCACAGAATAACCCTGTGATACATACGTAGATATACATTCTTAATTTTAACACGCTTAACATGAATGTAATAAGTGGTGGATCAATTTCTTCTTCTAGATTTAACTCAACTCAATCTTCATAAGGAAAGCCAAAGCCTGGCTTTATGACTGCACCCTCAGGTAGGTAGAGAAATTGACATTGTTGGGTCCTTGTGAGTTAAGCACGGAAAAGCCTGGATGCTTTATACTTCCTTTCTGCTCTGAGCTTCCTCCAACCCTTTGATTAGGCCTTTGGGTCAGTCATTCAGTCTGTATAGTTGAGTGCCTGCCCCATCTATCAAACATTGCACTAAATATGGAGGTACAGTAGCTGATCAGCATGCATACACATTCCTACCATATCAAAACCAGGGAGATGACTCAGTAGATAAAGGCATTTGCAAGCGAGCCCAAAAACCTGAGTTCAGTTTTTGGAGCCCACATGGTAGAAGAAAAGTTGTTTTTTTATCTTCTCACACATAACACACACACACACACACACACACACACACACACAGAAAATAAACATAAAATTATAACAATGACAACATGGGACTAGAGAGATGACTCAGTGGTGAACAGTTCTGGCTGCTCTTCAAAAGGATCTAGGTTCAATTCCCAACACCCACAGGGAGGCTGCAACTAGCTGTATCCTCCAATATCAGGATGGGCACCTTGGGCACTGCACACATGTGGTGTGCAGACATACATGCAAGCAAAACACTGTGCATAAAAATATATATATATAGTAAGTTCATCAACAAAATAATAGCCATGGTTGGGTAAGTACATTGAATTTGGTAAGTCACAGCATATGGAGTATATTCATTTATAGCTTATTGATTCTGTATGCTGCGAATGTGTTGCTTTTATTGGTTGATAAATGAAGCTGTTTTGACTAATGGCCAGGCAAAATATAGTTAGGCAGGAAATCCAAACAGAGTTATGGAGAGAAAGAAGGTGGAGTCAGAGAGATGCCATGTACCCACTAAAGGAGTAATGCCAGAGCATCATCAGTAAGCCATATCCATATGACAATACATAGATTAATAGAAATGGGTTAATTTATAAGAGAGAGAGCTAGCCAGTAGTATGTCTGAGCCATTGGCCAAACAGTTGTAGTTGATAGTAAGCCTCACAGTGTTATTTCACAAGAGGCTGCAGGGACTAATAGGAGGGACAGAAAATTTCCAGCTACAGCTTATTTTTGCCAAAGCATGCTGATTGGTTCTCCACCTGGTTTCCATTCTCTCTGCTTTCTTACTAACAGTTAAGTGTAGAACTGAAGGGCTGTGTTTAAGATTGTGACTTCCCAGAGTGTTGGAGTCACATCTGTGACTCCAAAAAAAGGAGAGTGAGGTATTTTGTTGACTGTGAGTTTTAAGGGCCCAAGAGGTGTGATGGTTGCTCCTTGACTAATCACTTACCTTTCTCCATTTCCAGCAGATGCAATAGCCTGAGGCGGGAGATGGAGTCTGTGATGCATTGGCCCAAGAGCTGTTCTTCAGAACTATACTCATCAGCAAACAGCCCTTAGCAGCTGCTGAGCAAGGGCGGTATGATAGGAAGGGATAGGGCGGGCTCACAGCTTGTATCATAGTATTCATTTGTTCAGAGAAACTAAGCTTCCTATTCAAACTGGGTCCAGTCATACAAAAGTCCAAGATGTTCAGCCATTTCAAGTGGCTTACTTTTCATATCATTTAAAGAGAGTAAACTTTATTTCAATTTTAGAAATGCTTTCAAGTTTTGTGGAAAGCAGAACTTCAGCCGTGTCTGCATAGAGATTATTTCCTACAGTCCTTTAAAGGAAAAATAACCCAAAACAGAATGGGATGAAAACAGTTTGAGATGAAATTATAAGGAGGACATGTTTGCTCTTCAGAGATATCTACTTCTCCAGCTCTCTGCCCCAAAGCACATGCTCAGCAGAGGAGACATATTCCTCCTAAAATCACCAGTAAGCCTCCACTGAAGTGTGTCTGCAGAGGTCTTCATGCACAGTGGGGTGCCTGAATTTATTTTAGAGAAGTTAAACAAAGCCCATGTCATTTAAGGCCACTCACAAAGGCAGATGGTTAATGGCTGGATCAGTAGACGTTGCGCATTGAGCATAATGTTCTTGATATAACTCAGTGAGTTATGTTATAGGCTGCATAATAATTTGTAGTTTTTTCCTAATACAAACATATGTAAGCCTAATTGAATTGTGTTTTTTCTTCCTTAATGAAAGTGTGCTTTAGTGCATTGCCATAAGCTTTTGCTTATAAGAGAAGAGCACATATATTTAAACTAAATAGATTATCTATCTGTCTGTCTGTCTGTCTGTCTGTCTGTCCGTCCATCCATCCATCCATCTATCCATCCATCCATCCATCTATTTTTACAACCTGGCTACAGTTTCCCCTCCCTCCTAGTCTCCCAGTCCCTCCCCCACAACCTTCTCTCTATCCCTACCGGTCCACTCCCCCCCCCCTTTTCTGTTCAGGAAAGGGCAGGTCTCCCATAAGTATCAACAAAACATGGCATATCAAGTTGCATTAAGACTATGAACCTCCCCATGTATTAAGGCTGGGCAAGTTGACCCAGTATGAGGAGAAGGGTCCCAAAATCTAGTAAAAGAGTGAGAGACAGCCCCTGTTCCCACTGTTAGGAGTCCCACAGAGGACCAAGCTACACAACTGTCATACATACACAGAGAGCCTAGGTCAGTCCCGTGAAAGCTCTCTGGTTGTTCAGTCTCTGTGAGCCCCTATGAGCCCAGGTTAGTTGATTCTGTGCGTTTTCTTGTGGTGTCCTTGATCCTTCTGGCTCCTACAATCCTTTCTCCTGGTCTTCTGCAGGTTTCCCCAAGTTCCACCTAATAATGTTTGGTTGCGGATCTGCATCTGTTTCCATCAGTTGCTGGATGAAGCCTCTCTGATGACAATTGGGCTAGGCACCATCTATGTGTATTGTAGAATATTGTTAGGCATCGTTACACTGACATTTCCTCCCTCTAGTTGTGTTTGATTCTATCTTAGGTTTCCAGATCATCCAACCTGTGGGTCCTGATACTCCAGGTAGCGTCATGGGTGGGCTCACTCTCCTGGCATGGATTTTAAGCTACATAGGTCATTAGTTGACCACTTTCTCTGTCTCTAGACCACCCTTATCCCAGTACATCCCATAGGTAGGACAGGCTGTAGATGGAAGATTATGTGGCTGGGTTGGTTTCCCACTCGCTCTACTTGAAGTCTGTCCTGGCCATAGGAGATGGTCAGTTTAGACCATGTATCTGCTATTGCTAGAAGTGTTAGCTGGGGTCATCCTTGGAGTCTCCTGGGAGATTTCCTTGTGTCAGTTTTATACCTAACCTCGAAATACCTCCCTGCCCCATCCAATGGTCTCTTTAAGCACCCTCCTACCTCTCGGTCCACTTATAAAAGCTTTTCTATTTACCCTTCCTAGGGAGATCTGGGTGTTTCCTATGAACTGTCCTTGTTACTTAGTCTTTCTGGGTCTGTGGATTGTAGCATAGTTATCCTTTACTTTATAGTTAATAAAGTGAGTACTTACCGTATTTGTCTTTTTGGGTCTGGTTTACCTCACTCAGGATGATTTTTTTTCTAGTTCCATCCATTTGCCTTCAATTTTCTTGGTGTCCTTGTT